TGGGGTGATGAGTGCTGCAGCGGGGCTGCAGTGTAGTGGGGGCTGGTGTGTGTGAAGCAGGGCAGCTGCCTTCAGACATCCTGTGCAGGCAGGACATTTGCAAGTCGAAGAGATTTCAGAAAGAGCTGTGGGAACAGCTGGGGAAACACAAATAGAACTGTTATATTTGCATTAATTAATTAGGCAGCGACCGCAAGGAGCGTAAGTGCTACAGCTACTGGTTTAAAAAGTGTGAAAAAGATGTAGGATAACATAGTTAGGGAGGCGTTTGTCTCCTCTGTCGGACTGAATTAACAGATACACTGTTGATCTGGTGATAAAATGCAAATTATAATATCCCAGGGTGAGACACACGGAGAGCACTGGACTAGGTGAGGAAGAAAATTTAGAGATGGAAACAGGGCAAAACAATCAGTAGAGGAAAGCAGAGGCTGTGGAAAGGATCTCAGGGAGAGCAGTGAGGCTTTAATCTTGAACTATTTGATGTTAGGAATTATTCATCTCACCTTTGACCATCCCGAAAGGATAATTTGGGCATGTTGGTGCAATTATAAAAACAACAAACAAGCAAAAACCCTGATAACATTCTGCTGATATGTGGCTGTAGAAGGATCTTAAAATAATCTTTATCCAAGGATTAAGAGTTTCTGATCTACCACTGACCTGTTTTCATTGTATTACAAATTCACGGTGCTTGCAAAAACAAGATAAAAAGGGTGTAAAACAAGAGAAAAGCAGATTGACAACAGCATAATTTACTAAAATAAGTTGCATTGATGAGGAAACTTCAAACTTAAAACCATGCTTGGTGAAACCTCCTTTTTCTAGTCAAGAATCCAAAGTGAGCTTGGAAATCTTTGTGTTGAAAGTTTCTGGGCATTTTAGGCCATGTGTGAAAATGGTTTTTTTCATTAGGAGTGAGAAGTGCAGACCTCTAGATGCCCTCTGATTTTTTTTTTCCCCCCCAAAGGAGGAGGAGCTGGGGTGAGATGGAAACACAAACACTGCTGTAGTCCTTGAGGCTGAATTAATGCTGCTGTTTTTAAGGGCTGAATGAACATTGTGTGTGAATTATTTCTGTGCATAGAAAGCCAGGGAAACTTGTGCTGATACCACTGACTTTGTGAACTAAGTTGTGTATCTCCAGGATTATGGGCATCTGAGGTGTTTCATCATTACGAAATTCTTATGGGGAAAAAATAATTGACAAAAGTAAATTAAGTGCCAGAAAGTGATTTTTATTTCATTGCCTAACAGTAATATGTGGATTTGATTATTTGTTTTGGCCTTTTCTAGGGGTTTTTGCACGAAGTAATAGAGTTAGCATGAAATATCATCTTAGTTTGAAGTGCCTTACATCTTTATCAAATGATAAATAACACAGACTTTGGCTAGAAGTTCAGTATTTTGTAATTTTGTCTGCAAAAACATTTTCCATGGTCAATAAGAGAAATGTGAGACACTAGAGCAATAAATTAATGTTCATCTTTGGTGTAAAATAATAATTACTTGAGTAATCCAATCTTTTTTATATACACCCATGTCAGGGGGGCCCCTGGCTACAGATGTGAGCTGAGTGAAGTCTCGAGTTGTTCCCTTGAACACCCACCCTGGAGGAGCAGGACCTTGGTCAGTGAAAGCAGCTTTTATAAACTGTGAGGGATTTGCAAAGGGGTGATAAACCCACACAGGACCAGCAGCTTGGAATTATTGTGGGTGTTTTAACTCTCAAAGTCGCAGCAGAGAATTGGGTAGTGGAGAAATGCAGGGCTGCAGCTGCCAGCTGGGCCAGCTGGGCGTGTGCCCAGGGGGCAGGAGCCCAGCTCCACTCAGGGCATGGTCAGGGTCACTTTGCAGTCAGAGAAACCCGGGCTCTCAGATTCTCAGGAGTAAGTAGTTCCAAATAGGTTTAGAATCGTGCAGGTATGAACACACCTTTTCTTTTTAGCTGTTGGAGGGGACAGGGCTGGTTTGAAAGGGTCAGTGTCAATGTACCCTATAATGTGACACTGCAGCGTGTGTGGCTGTGTCCTTCCTTTCCCTGGTACATTCATGTGCAGGGCTCAGTTTGGGCAGGCTTTTAGCAGCAGTGGGGAGGGGAGATCAAAGTGCCACCAGGCAGGGTGTTCTGGCTTCGAGTGGTCTCTGTAGTTTATTTACAGTAATTTGTTCTGCATTTTTCACAACAGCCACACCAACCCCAGCTCTCTGCATTCAGGAGCGTGAGCACAGCGTGGTGAAAGACATCACCATTTTCACCCAGTTACTCCTCTGACAAGAGGTTCTTGTCTAGAATGTGAAACTGTAGAAGCCCCCAGCTGGCGACTATAAATTCCTGCCTTAATGGGCTGTGTCAGCCAGTCGGGGTGGCTGTGCCGGGAGGGAACCTGAGCCTGGATGCCAAAGGGAGGAGTTTCCATCCAGCCTGGCAGCCGGGAAAGCATTTGTGAGCTTGGCACGCCAAGGCCGGGGGTGCCTCCAGCCCCTCTGCAGGGAAGAGGGGACTGCAGCAATGCACAAGTGACTTCCCCAGCTGCAAGGTCCATCCCGCAGTGGTCAGTCACAAGTGCCTGTAGAAGGACAGAACAAGAGAATGAGCTTTTGTTCTTGTCTGGCCTATGACAGGTTTAGAAGTTGTGTTGATTTCCTGTGCAAAACTAAACCAAAGCAGTTGTTGACTGGGCAGTGTGTGACTGAGTCTTGCTCACTTCAGAGTTGTCCAGATGTGACTGTTGTAACTCAGCAGATTCTTACTTTTCTGTAGTTTCCTTTTGTTGTATCATTTTTGCTGAGGCCATCAGTTTGCTGTTGTTCTGCTACACACATTCACTGCTAGTTTTCATTGCTACTTTAAGACATTTTGAGGATTTCTTGGATCTTTTGTCCTCCCGGTTTTGCCTTTCATTGAATTTCTGCATTATCACTTCCACCCACAGCTTCAGCCAGGGGAGCTGTATTAAGTACAGTTCCCTCCTCTCCTCCTGCCCACACTGGCACCAGCCTAAGCTGTTCCTGTGGTTCATGGTACTTCTCTTCTCTTTTTCCTGGATGTGAAGGAGGGCACATCCCTCTCTGATGCTGCTTGTTCTCTAGCCTGTGTAACAAGTGAAGGACGTAGCAGTAACATCCTGATATTGCTTCAATAACCTGTTCAAAGAAGTGCAGCAAAGCCCTGGGTAGAAAAAGTTACTGCTAGTTTGTGGTGTTAAGTTCTTGAAACACAAACCAGGACCAGGCTCTGCTTTGAGCTGAAGTGTTCGGTGCAGAGTCTGCAGCATTTGTCAGGGGAAAATGCTTTATTTTGCTGGCACCAAAGGTTGCAGTCACTTTCTGAATACTGTTCTATCTGACAGGCCTGCCCCAGGTTCAGCTGGTGCTTTTCACTGTCCAAATGATGATTAGAGAATACTTTAGATCATTTAAAATACTAAAAGGCAGCTTATCCAAAATAATTCTGTGATTCTGTGAAAAATGGTTCAGAGTAGTCAGGAAATTAATCACTTGGAGAACCCCTGGCATTCTCTTTCGAACCTTCTCATAATTCCTCTGAGTTCTGCCAGGAAATGAGAGGGGGAAATCCTAGGCTAGCTAAATTAAGAGATGACTGTGAATTTTACCCCACAGCTGAATTGCCAGTGGCAGGCACTGTGTTCAGTGAATTGCCAGGCAGACTTGCATCTGTAATTAGCATTCCTGATGAGCAAGGGCCTCTGCTGATGGGTGGCACCAGTGAGAGGCTGCTCACTCCTGGGACAGTTTTTCCTGGTCTTCCAGGAGTCCTGGCTGGCAGTCCATGTGCTGTGATTCCTGGCAGTGGAAGAAGAGCTTTACTGGGTTTGACAAATGCAGTGCTACATGTGGGAGGTGACCCGTGCTGCCTCAGCTGCACACACCTGCCCTGGGCTCAGCTTCCACCAGTGTCCTCTAAAACAGCAAATTTGGCATTTGCCAAACAGATGATTCGGTGCATTGTGTGTCTGATGCAGCAAGTTTATTTTCAGATACATCTATAAGTTGATTTTTTTTCCTGCTGTTTAAGAAGAACCATTAAAATGAGTCTCTTGAAAGAAATTGGCTCCCTGTTATTAGCAGATTTACGGCTACTGGCCAATACTGTCTTAATTATCCTCTTCAAAATTGGTATTTATGTAGCAAAATATGCTTTAAAAGCAAGTAAATTAAATACCATGTTAATATAAATGTTAGTGAAAATATCTGATCTAAAGTTCATTAATATTCAAAAGAAGCTTCTCAGAATGTGGTTGAGGAAGCACTGCATAATAGCTATATGTTGCCTGTATTTCTTTTGAAAATATATACCTGGAACATATCCATAGCTGAATCCAGCTTGGAAGAACTTGTAAAGTCATACTAGTGTATGAGAAGAAACACAAGACTTGGGTTACTTATTTATGTTGTTTGTGCTGTCCAGGTAACATTCTTTTAACACATGAAAATTAAATCTACAGTTCTAGATTTAAGCTTGTGTGGCCCAAAGCAGTTCACATGAATTTTAGTTATTGCAGAATAAGTAAAACCTTCCTCTCTAAAAATTTTGAGAGTAAGCAGTGTCCTCATCTTTCTAAAGAATTCTTCCTGAATGTAGAAAGAAGATAAAATTCATAAAATTCATATAATCTACTTTCAGTTGCAGATACTGGGGCTCTCCCTAAGCCCTTACAGTGCTCAGTTCTGTATCTTAGCACTTCACCAGGTGCCTCTAAGGTTTATTTGCCTGCTGGCTTGTGGAGCTTCTTGCCCATGTGTCTCTTGTATGAACAGTTCCTGGAGATCAAAAGCTTTTGCAGAGAACAACCACGAACAGCTCCTTATTCTAATGCTGCCCTCAATTCCCTATCCTGTTCTCATAATTATAGCCCCAAAATTGCCAAGTAGGAGCGGGAGTTCATACAAATATTTGTAGGAGTGTGAATCGTCCTGTGCTGTGGAAGGCTGGGAAAGCTCTGAGGTGGTTTTTCACGGGAACGTTGTGCTTGCAGGAGCAGGTGCCTGTTCCCGTGTACCACCCCACGCCCAGCCAGACCCGGCTGGCCACGCAGCTGACGGAGGAGGAGCAGATCCGGATCGCGCAGCGCATCGGCCTCATCCAGCACCTTCCCAAAGGCGTCTACGACCCCGGCAGGGACGGCTCCGAGAAGAAGATCCGAGAGTAAGCCCTGGGCCCGAGTGGAAGGGATTGGCTCTTGCCTTGCTTTGGGATGCTACCCTGGCAAACCTGACCTTGTCACCCTGGGTTTGCCTTATTTTCAGGGATTGTGATTTAATGTAGTTTTTTTTTAAAAAGAAATAAAGTCCTGCAGAAGGCTGATGTGGTGAGTAGCATCCCTGCTGAGGGCAGGGGGTTGGAATTCTGTGGGCTCCACGGTCCCTTTAACCCAAACCACTTCATCCATTTGAGGCTCTTTCCTTTATCTTACACAAGGCTTCTCCTCACAGTATCTACAAATACTAAAAGCATCCAGGAATAGATATTACGCTGTTTTTAATTTCAAGATTGGCAACAGCGAGCTTAATATTTTATTTTTCCCCTTCCAGATGTGTCATTTGTATGATGGACTTTGTTTATGGGGACCCTATCCGATTTCTGCCGTGCATGCACATTTACCACCTGGACTGTATAGATGACTGGTTGATGAGATCCTTTACCTGTCCATCCTGCATGGAGCCAGTGGATGCAGCACTGCTTTCATCATATGAGACTAACTGAGCCAGGGTTTCTCTACTGAACCTTCGAGGAGACCATCCACTTCAATGGGTTTGATCCTTTTGTCATTCAGCCCAAAGAGCCAGGAATTAGGAATTAAGATCATGCACAAAGTATACATTTCCTAATAAATAAATAAAAAAATATTCCTGAATGGCTGCAAATATTGGAAAACATAGTATTTTAGAGATTATAGAAAAGTAGGTTGTTATTTTTAATGTAAAGCCTTGACCCACCATTGTCTTTTAATGTTTGTTCTTACACCCATATATAGGAATTGTGTAAAGTATTACAGCAACTGTAAATGTTTAAACTGCGTGTATCCGATTTTATTAGCAGCAAGATAAGAGTATTTTTTTCCTAAATAAAGTAACCAGTTTTGTTCTGATTCTTTTCACAAGTCCTGGCATTTGGGTCAAGGCTTTATTGAAATCTACATTTTATAACACTGGCACAAAGAAATAGTTTTAAGCTTGTTTGCACAGTTCTTTTTCTTTTTCTTTTTTTTTTTTTCTTCCACTGGAGATGGAATTCATTGCCTTAGGTCTTTTTAATAGTGTATTGTTATTGTTGGGCTGGCTCTATGCTTGAAAACCAGTTTATTTATAACCTGTTAAAAGTGCTATATTTTGTTTGCAGTTAGGAATATGCAGACTTCAAAGTGATCTCCTAGCTTATAAGCAAACTGAGATGCATTATCCCTTTTCTACAAGTGATACAGATTATGAAGATATGACACAAGTCCTGCAGTGAAACTGTGGTTTCATGGGGTTTTTTTATAACTTCCTTCGGTTTTGATGAAATAACAGTCCTTTAATATATGACCTTTAACTTGATCAGATTAAAAGTGGGCCAGAATGAACAATAAATAGTTAAGCTGCCATAACTGAAAAAAAAAAAAATCTGGAACTAATGTAGTGTTAGCATTGATCACTTAATCTATTTTTTTCTCCCTAAAATGGTTGTCTTGGATAATAGCAAATGGATACTGCATCTCTCGTTCTTGTAGTTCTTAGGTTATCAGAAGTTAAGAATAAACATACTGTATCTCAGTCTCCTGTATTAAATGTATCTGTTGAGCCCTGCTGGCTGGCACATCAGTCCACCAAACAGGAATGAATGGAGAGAGGAGAAAAACGGACTTTGTTCTGCACATAAATGCAAAGTTTATATAAACAGAGAGTGTCAGGGTAGCAGTGGAGGGGCAAACAGTCCTGCTATAGCCAGAATGACACAATTCCCTGATTTCTGTAGCAAACAGTATGTGCTTGTTAAGATAGGCTTCAGCAAAGATTGTAGCTGTAAAGGCCTTTTCCCACTTAGCATGATTTTCTCCTTTTTTCTTCTCCCCCACTCCCTTGACTGTGACTTCTGTGCATCCAGTGCCACCCTGACACAGTGAGAAGCCCTGGTCTCATGAAATGAAACACAATCTCAAGTTAACCACAGCAAATTGGGGGATATTCTCTGATTGTGTTTCAGATGTAGTTTGAGTTCTTGATACAAGAAGTTGTGTTTAAAGACCCAGGTCCTTTGAGGACTTAGTACATTTACAGCAGAGGAGAATTGTAATTCTGTGGGTTATGGATAACTGGTCAGCACAATGGAGAGTCGACATTTGTTTGTTATTCCTGCAGCTGACAGCACCCTGCTCCCTTAGAGAAGAACTCCAAGGAGCAGTCAAAAGGAACTGAAAACATTCTGCAGTTCTAGATTCACTCAAATGGCCACACAGTTATCTGGACACGTTTTGCTGAATTCATACATACCTAATTACATGGATCAAAATCTGGGGAGACCTGAAGTTGTGCAATATCATTGTTCCTTTTCATCATTCCATGTGTGTTCCTTTGTGTCTTCCTTTTTGTCCGTTTGTTTCAGGGGTTGGGTTTTTTTTTTTTTTTTTTTTTTTTTTTTTTTGGTTTGGGTTTTTTTTTTTTTGTTTTGTTTTTTTTTTTTTTTTGGTAAAACAATGTCCACATTAAGTATTCATTTCTTTATCTTGTTAAAACTGGCAAATGAACAATTTGAAAAAAACAGTGTTGTCATGGTGGTATTAATCTTTATTTATTACAAGACTTGATTAAGAAAGATTTAAAAGAAGTAGGAAGTGATGGGTTACTGAGCTGAATGCTTTCCTAGGCCGTTGACCCCTGAGCAGTTGAACTTTTAACACTGATATACTGACTGGGCTAAGAGAAGAAATTACTTCTATTAAAATACTTGTTAAATAGCAAAAAGATGTGAAGGGCTAAAACTGGAGCTGATGACACAAGACCATTACAGAAAAGTTCAAATTTTAGCTGAAAGACAAATGTGTAAATATAACAAATAAATCAAATTATTTTTCAAGTTTTTAGGTACACTACTGTTCTGGGTGATTTCTAATTCAAATGCAAAGAAGAATTGATTTAAATTTAATGAAAAAAAAAATGTATAACCTGAATTTTAGCTAATTGTGGAACCAGATCTGTGTCTTATTTCTACGATGAAGATACATTTACCTCCTTTCCTAGAGGTGTCTTAACAATTACTTGCACTTCGTACACATTAAGGCTGTTCCCAGCTGGAGTCTCCTGCAGCTGAGTGAGGGGAGGGAATTGGCTCTGACTCACCTGGACCTGTTCACCCAAAAGTCCTTCTTATGCCAGGGTGGGCAGGCCCATAGGAAAATGTCTGCAAAGCAGTTTGAAAGAAAAAACAAACAAAAAAGCCTCTTCAGCCACGGTGTGCAAGGAGCTGAGTTTGGAGGTGCTCGACAGCCCTCAAGGGCTGGTGCTTTGGAGCATTTTCATGGGGCCTGTGCAGTGTGCTGGAAACACAGAGCAGTGGTGGCACTTGGAGCTGGCAGTGGCACAGCACAGCCCCAGCTGGGCTGAGGGCTCAGCAGGATCCATTCCAGCAGCACAAGGGACAAGAGTGTCAAACCCACACGCCCCAGGCCAGTGGCACCACATCCTGCTGTCCCTGCACTGGGAGGGAGCAGCACCTGCACCCAGGAGGCACAGCAAGGATGTGCCTGGGTTCCACTTGCAGATTAGAGAGGAAATGGATTTTGTCTCCTGCATGAGAGAGAAACTCCCACAAACCTGAAGCCAGAGATGTAATGACAAGTAAGGAATATTCAGTTTTGTACAGACCTTCATGCTTAAAAATGCTTGCATGCTACAGGAATTGCCACTTTAATCATTTTACATCTAAGGATGGTAAAATCTTTTATTACTTGTTGTCAGTTCATTATGTAAATCTGGGGGAGAATCATATATAAACAAACCCAGCCCAGAGCATTTCTTTCTAAGGAACACGAGCCACATATTTAAAAGCTCTTAGGTCTTGCAGCTTCCCAGGGCTGAAAGTAGTTCTGTGTTTGGAAGGCTGGCAGTCTTCACTGACAGAAGGGTACATTTCTGGGTTGAGGGATTATGAAATACCTGAATTTACTTCAGTTGCCACAGTTTCAGGACTTCAACACTTCCTGTCCTTGTGCAATCGTGGTAAAGATGAAAATTCTTTTGAGTCAGACTGTCAGTGAAATAAATAACAAGATGGCTGAAACTAAACATACAGGGTCTCTCAGCAGTTAAATCCTGGATTAAAAGGACTCAGGAAAAAATGTGGATGCTGGTTGATTACACACACAGTTTGTTACAGATACCACATTTTTATTAAAAACATACATTCTAGTTGACAGCCTATAAAACACATGAATAAAATCTGTTCAGAAGTACCCTTCTTGACTTAATACCCAGAATAAAAATCAGCTTCAAGGATTAACTTTTCCTTTTATATAGCATTTAACTTTGAAGAATATAATTTATGCTAACCACCCTTTACAGATTATCTTGCATTTAAACCTGTTCTGGGATAAGTGTTCGGGGCTTTGGAATTCTTGGTATGAAATGCAAAGTTAATGCTTTGTGATAAAGAGAACAGTCTAAATGCACTCTGCTAAAGCATCTTTTTGATTTAAGCAGAAGAAATAACTGTATTTTCAAGCTAGCAACTGATTCATTACAACATCCACTCTGCTCTGACACTTTGCTAAGTAAAAGCTGCAGAGAGGAGTTTATAATGAAGAAATTCTTTGTGCAGAGCCCTTTCTGTGTTCCCACAGCCCGAGGTATTTGCTTACTCAGCAAGAGGGGCCCAGCCACAGAGCGTGCACAGAGAGCCCCCAGCCCTCCTCTGTCCTCCCAGCTGGAAAACAAGCAGCAGAAACTTAATAAACCTGCTCTTTGAAGCACCAACCCTTACGAAACATTTGTCTTTCTTTGCAAGAAGGCATTTCAAGAGCTCTGCACACAGCAGTAAATGGATTCATGGCACACTGCACGGGCCCTGGCTGCCCACACCGAGCACTCTCCCAGCCTCACTCCGCTCCCTGGCTGCCCTTTTGCCAGGGCTCTCACTGCACCATGACAGACAAACCTCACCTCTCCAGCCTCTTGCCCACACTTCTGCCACGTTAGCAGGAGCTGCCTGTATAATCCAGGATTCATGCTGGGGAAGCAGATTGAGGGAGACAGACAAGGCAAGAATTCAAGGGGGAAAAGGATGAATCACTCCCAGATTTTTTTCTGAGCAGGACAAAGCCATCCCAGGCCCTATCCTACTGAGGCAGAGCTCTGCTAGTCCAGAGTGAAAACTGATGCCCTTCAAATCTAGAGCATAAAACTGCATTTTTGTGAGGTTACACCACTGAAGGGCTCTTGCTAGACTGCCGGTTTGCCTTGGGATTTCATCTTCTAGAAGGCTGCAAACTGCACAGTCCTGCAGTGTGATCCTGCTGCAAGCCATTAGTAAAGGCCTTTAAACTCTGCATTTTCCTCAGCCATCACCAAAGCTGTCTTAAAGTATCTTGCCTTTTTTAAGTCCTGCATTTAATAAATAGTTCAAGCAGTTCTGATAACTTTTCAAAAAGCTTTGGCTCCAGAACCTGTTACCACTGTGTGTGAGTATACATACATACGTAGATGTTTTATGTATATTTATATATGCTTTTCTTCATGTATGTGTGTGTGTGACAAATCAGACAACAACAGAGCTGTAGCAAAGACACTGTGCATGGAATTCTTGCTGTTCCTTAGAAATACCAACATATATTTGCATCAGTGACAAGCCCAGCCAGCATCATAGAATGGAAACCTGACTTCAGTATCCACAAGCCCTAAGAATGAAAGACAAACCACATTTTCCACAATTGCATCAGTCATTGGAATAATCTCCCAGACAATGTTAGATCTCTCAATTAAGATTCAGCTGGACAGGATGCAGGGCCACCTTGCCTAGCATCTGCTTTTGGCAAGAAAGGTTGGGCCAGATGATCCTTGACATCCCTTCCAACCTGCTACTGTATCTGTGACTGAAATACCAAAACTGTAACTGGCCCTGACCTTTGCATCTAAAAACCTCTGCAGCTGCACAACCCAGTGGTGGTGAGAGCAGTGCTGGGTACTGTACCCAGATGAAGATGACACTGAATATGAGCCATGTAATTCTAGGATCTTCTGGAGTTAACAGCCTTGCTCCACTCCCCAGAACGAGTTACTGAACTCTACTGAGATACAGTTCCTGTTGCACATCTGCAGAGCAGAGGCAGCTGCAGGCATCTCACACCAGCACCTTCCCCAGAACATCAGGGGAAGCACAGCATTCCCAAAGCACCAGCTCCTCCTGGGACTGCCCCTGGGACACAGCTGACACCAAGCACTGCAGACAAACATCCCACACAGCTCCAGCACCAAGGATGCTGTTCTTACCTTCACACCCTGTGCGCTGCGGGATGAAAGGAATAGCAAGAGGAGAACCATCCAGAGTTTTGCAGCTTCTGCCTATCTTCTCTTTCCACCACATCAATACTTTTAGGCCACAGGCCTGAAACTGCTGTTCCTGTACTTTGCTAGCACAAGATGAACTTTTCTTTGCCTTTTTAAAAATTGAATCAACCCATAAAAAGCATGCAGGGGGTTATGACTGATCTGTTGTGTATTCTTCCTGTAAAACAGCCAAGGAGAGAGAAAGCAAGTAGATTTCCCTGCAATGCATAATTCTAAATAAACATTTTGCCTATGCTTAGCCAGCAGTGAAAATAAGTAGGTCCTGAGGTTTAAAAAAACCACAGAAAATAATGGAGTAAAGCCCAGTCCTACAGAGTCATGACTGAATTTGAGCAAACACTATGCAGAACTTTACCACAGTGCAATGCAGGTATTAGCTCTGTTGCTATTCATAAATCTTGGAGACAGGGATTGACTGGGCATGTTCTTAAAAGAAAGTATTTAGATTTTTTTTTAAACACCTGAAGCAAGCCTAGATAGCATCTTTAAAAAATATTCTATGATGACAAATCATTAAATTAAAACACTTGCTGGTACACGCTTTGCACATCACCTGCCACCAAAATGTATTTGCAGAACATAATGAGAAAAGAAGCAAGTTTTTTTCTAGTCTGTTCAGGTTGCCCAATCTCATTCATCAGTGATGTTGCCAACCATTACCCATTTTCCTGTAGAGCAGTAAACAACATGACTCACCTCTTTATCTTCTCCTCTTCCTCCCAGAGGGGGAACAGTGTTGAATGTGTTGTTTCGGTCATTTCATACACATTTGCTTTGTTTTTATGCTTGAGAAGGCAAAGAAATGCATCTTGCAAGTGGAACTGGAGGCTGAGTATTGTATTTAAACTCCTGGGAGTGCTTTTTGCATTCTGGGACTGACCTGTAGGAAAGCCTTGTCTCACATGGAGAAACATTATTGGTGCCTTTGTTGGGCCAGAGGAACACAAGCTGTCAGCCTGTGAGCTTTTAGTCAGGCCACAGATAACTAAAAATATTAAAGCACTCAATACAGAATTTAATGCCAAAACCAGTGTGAAATGGGAGGAAATGTTTGATATGATCCTATTCTACGCTGCTGTATTTCATAAAATGCTGTTTCCTAAGCCAAGCTTTGAGGAGTAAACAGCCCAAGGCCAGGCACAGTCAGAAGGGGACAGTCCCTAAACCACCCATCCCCGATGGCACGTGTCAGCTGTGGATGGCAACTGAACTGCCTGTCAGTAAGCAAAGCAGGCTCCTCTGACACAGGTGGAGTTGAGCAATCTTAATTGTGTGTTTCCAGATCACAGTAGCATGGCTGTGACATCATCAAATTCTCTTCTAACCACCCAGAAAAGCTGTGTCCATGTCCAGCTCCAGCATCCTTCACCCAACAGTTTGTATCTCATCCCATGTTACTCACAGGAGCTGGGGGCTGATGCAGTTGCACCTGAGCAGACCTCAGCAGGAGCTGCTGGCTCTTCAGCCCTCTCCTCCCTCAGTTCACTGAGAGACCTTTCACACAGGGATCCCACATCACAGAGCTCATGATAGAAGGGATGCCCCTTTTACTGCCTTGCCCTTCCTGCCAGCACCACTTTCAGGGGACAGCATTGTCTCATGGGGCACCACGGCTGCTGCTGCAGACATCCAGGAAACTGAGTAGGAATTTTTACCTCTCCTTGGTTACTTGCAGGAAAACACTTCCTAGTTAAAAAAAAAAAAATACATCAAAGAAGAAATAAAGTTTGTGGGGCTTATGATAAAGGTCATACCAAGTGCAGAAAACTTTTCTGCTGTTTGAGTTAATAATTTTTGTCTTTGGGTAAGATCTCTGGCTTTGCTGAGGATGGGGAAGAGCTGATTGCAGCATTGTTGGCTAAGGCTGGTGCACAGAATGGGTTTCTCAAGCATTTCTCAGACAGTTCAGTGTTTGAATGCAGAAGGAACTGCTCCTTCTGCAGTTGAGATGTGGATATATCCTTCTGCAGTCATACTTCCATTTCTTGAATCTTGGGCCATGCTTCAGTCTCTGATGTGCAATTCAATGACAATATTTGCTATTTTCTGCTGAGTACCCTGAGGGGAGAACTCACACCTTTGTGCTTCCCCTGATTCACTGCATTTGGGACTCCAGACTGATGAAGCAATTTACTCTCCTGCAGAGCTGCTCCAGGCACCACTCAGCACTGCTGGAGGAGCAATGGAAAAACCAGGCCAGCATCAACCTTCCATCCCAGCCTGACCCCAAGGAGTTTGGATCCCTGCCACAGAGGAGCACCAAAATGAAGGAACTGATGAGCAGAGTGATGTTGGGCAATTGCAAATGAAACACACCAAAAAACTTACACAATGACAATATATCAGACCTTCCACTCATCTTCTCCTCAAGTGAATCCATATTATTACAGTCCATAAATCCTCATTGCACCAGGAAGGTGATTATTTGCTATGGCTTGGGAGCCAAGGAGTCAGAGTGAAATACCACAGTGAACTACAAAGCACTCAGCTGAAGGTGGAGATCAGGCCCACAGTGTGACTGGTGCTGGTAAAGATGACTCTGAAAATCTTAGGAAGGTTATGAAAACCTTAGGAAAATCTTAGGATTATCATTGCTGCAAAGCATCAGGGAAGCTGTCTGAGTAGCACATAGTACATCCTTTTGTGATCTAAGATCAAGCAAAACCGAGTTGTGGGTGAAATTTCAAAGATGAGAAATCAATCTGTACTCAGAAGGATTGTTCACTTTCTGCAAAGTACAATATATGCTAATTTTCACATGGAATTACTTGCTTAAAAGATGCTAAGGCTGCCAAAATATTTGAAAAGGACACAACTGGAAGAAGAGGCGTTATATGCATGAAGTAGAACAAGAAATTTTTTTTATTCTATACAAAGAATGACTGAATTTTTACACTGAAGTTTTGATGTGCAGCATGTAAATAGCATAACTGTTTATACTGAATTTTATCTGAATCAAGAAATTTATCAGAACTTAATTTATCTGAGAAAGTTACTTTAAAAAATGCATTCTTCTTCTATGATTTTTAACTTGCAAAGACTTTTATAAAGGGCATCTATTTTTAAGACAATGCAAGTTCTCCGTGTTGAGCAACTGGTGGTTCTGTCTCCTTGCATATTATTCTACAGTTATAAAACAATTTTATTTCCTTTGAGGAGGCAAATGCAGAGCTATAAACTGTCATTTTTCTCTTCTGCTGGGAACAATCACTTTAGAAAGTATATGCACTGTGAGGTACATAGATATGAATCCTCCTGACAAACGTCTCCATTGGAGAAAAAGGGCTGTCAGAAGACCTCCCATCTCCACCCATCAGAATGGGTAATGGGGAAGAAGCTCTTTCAAAAGGGAGGTAGAAGTGTGTCCCAAAACCCCAGAGGCATACAGACATGGAGCTAGCCTGGAGAACAGCAAACACAAGGCAAAGCTGTGGTACCACTGACTTCACCAGTTTTCCAGCAAAGCAGGAACTCCATGGCAGCATTGGAAAGCAGACCCAGCTCACTGCTCTATTCTCAAAGCCCCTTACACAGAAAATTTCCCAAAAGATCCATAAAGAGCAGAAGGATAAGGGGCTGTCCTTTGTGCTAAGGGAGCCTGCTCCAGCCCTAGCTTCCTCCCACAGGGAACATCAGCCTTGTGCAACAGGGACATCTCAGCTTGGGAATCCCAAGAGCAGTCACTGCAGGAAGGGCTGCACTGTCACAGTAACTCCTGTATTGCTCCAGCCACTGCAGTGTTGCCATTTCCTAAATGACCTTCAAGGACTTGTGCTTTCAATTTGACATAAGCTTCAGATCATGCTCATCTGACAAAAGACATTTCCTAAGAATTCCCACTGTCAAAGAAGTGATGCAGTTTTATGCCATCACCACCTTTTCCCCTGCAATCCTCAGCAAATTAATTCAGCTGCTACAAGCAGCAGACTTGACAGGAAAACCAAACTAAAGAAAAAGTCAAGGTACTTGCATAAGGGAGACCATTCTTTTCATCAGCAGGGTTCTTACAGAAGCAAAAATGTGACTGGTAGGAGCTGGTAAAGAGAAGCTTTCTGTGCACAACTAGATGTACCCACGATCCAGAGCTCCTCCCTGCTGTGAGATTTTCTCCCACCATTCCAACTAAGTGGGTACTGGGAAAAAGCAATGCTTCCTTCTCAGCTGCTAGCAGTATGGATCCAAATAGACATTCAGAACGAACTGAGATTAAATCTGGAAATCTTAAAGTTTTTCTGTTTTTCTTTTCAAATGTTCCCCTTTCACTAAGCAAGCTACAACATAATGTTGTGAATGCAAGAAAAAGGCACACAATTGAAAAATGAATTTCACAGATGCAGGTGTGTGTAAGTGTCAAAAAAACACTCTTGGAAAAACAATATTTTTCAAGGTTATGGTTGGTTTGAGAGATTTTTTTGCCATGTTATTACACTAGATTAATGTTTTATGCATCACCTTTGAAACTTTAAGTTATTTGGTTTTTCACTGGCTTGAAAGAGAAGGAAAAATAATTTTAAAGTGTCAGTAATCTTCTGCACCAAAGTTTGCAACAAACAGAACATCAAAGAAGATAAAGTTACGATACTGCTGAGGCTCCACAGTGCATTCCATTTTCTGGGGCGGATTTGGCTTGGTGCAGGGCAGCTTGAATTCTGAAATGTGTCCTTGTTTCCATGGAGTAATTCTTGTAGTTTTGTCTGAAACAAAAGAAGATTCACTCCGGTTAATATATATTTTAAAAACCTTTCTAAGTTATCTTTGTATTACTGTTTTACTTAAAACAGTAGCAAAAGATTATTTCTTCACAAGCTCCTTTGTTGCCTACTCTAAAATACAGGGCATGTGCTGCTGGCCAAACAATGCAACTCTTTGTTCTTTATTTGTAGTTCCACTGTCTGGCAATTACCAGAAAAATATAGCTTAGTAAGAAATTGAATCTGGTCCACTCAATCAAAATATTGAGTCTATATTAATTATCTGTAACATCCACTTAGTTTACACTCAGAAATTATAAAAAATTTTCTCCCTCTCAAAGTGTAACTGACAGCTTTGAATACAAATATTTTCAGCATTTAAAAAATTATTTTAATAAGGCATACTCATTTCAAGAAAGTAAAGAGGAGAGGAGGAAAAAAAAGAGAAAAAAGAGAGAGAGAGAAGGAAAGCTGTCCTGATCCAGAGGAGGAAAACAACCCATCTCTATCCTATGGCTGCCAACAATGTGATTTCTGTGTGTAGGAAATGAAGGCAGAAAAGTTGCTGCTCCAGAGTGTGGAAAGTGGGCACACACCAGATTCCATATCAGCTTTTGAGGAGCAATTCACCATCCTAGGAAAAGACTGGCAGGATTTCCACCACACACATCTAGTACCTAGCTCCACACTGTCATCTGCCTATAGTTTCCAGTAGTTCTGTCATACTCTAAAGAGTTACTGGGAGAATGAGAGAACCTATATTTTCATGGAAAAGCTTATATTAAAAAAAGAAAATTTGCCCCAGGACCACATAGAAATTGCAGATCCTACTTAGTAGGAATTAACATGTCAGCTCCTACAGGATGGATACAGAATCCAGATACAACACAGGATTACACCATGTTAATTTTCTCATAGAAGTTATTTGTCATCTTTACAGAAACATAACATTAAGTATTAAACTCTGTGTATCTTAACAGTATTTAAGTTCTAAATTCATATATCAAACCAAGCATAGCAGCGTGGTATCTGTCTGTAGCAGTGCCAGTCTCTTGGTGAAAACAAGGAATTCCATGCCCATCCTACATCAGCTTATAATTTTATGTATGCAACACCCCAGAGGCTGACTGAGAAAAGGAGGTGGCCAGGTTCTGCTGTGTGCTGATCTGAAACCCCTTGGAGTTTTTCCTTTAAATGAAATGGATTTTGTCATGCCGAGCCTGTATTTCTCATGAGTACACTGATATTCTTGTTTGTAGTTTACAGTCATACAAATAGAAATATTTCAGTGCATGACCAAGCCAAAACTGTTTATCATCTCGTCCCACTCCTTCTCGCAGAGCTGAGGATCCAAGCCAGCAGCAGGACGTGGATTTAGGTCAGGCAAATCAAATGTCACGCACCAGCCAAGCGCTCTGCCAACTGCAAACTGAATTCTGCAGCCCCACCAACACTCTGCCCTCCCTCTCATGGCTGCTGAGACATTCAGAGTTGGTAGCTGAAAGCTCATAAACCCAGAGCATTTTAATGCCACAGGTGGAAATGTAAGAGCTGCACCTTTATTTATGACTGACTGAAACAATGGGGTTTATAATGAGGGTGGGGTTGGTGTTTTGGTGGGTTTTTTTTTTTTTTGGTTGGTTGGTTCAGGTTTTTGGTTTTTTTTTTTCAGTCATTACAGTTTACAAGAGTTCTTTGAGCACAGCAAGTCTGAGTAGCAGCTTTCATACACTGGGCACAGCACATTTCTCAGAGCTGCTGTCTGTTAAACCAAACATCTTCTCCTGAGGGAACCCAAGACACTCAAAACTGCCAGGCCAAGCAGCAATGACAGAAGTTCCAGCTGGAATCAGCAGCTCCAAATCATTCATTTCTAGATCTCTTGTTAAGAGAGATTTGAACAAAAGAAATGAGGACAGGAGAGGTGTGTTTTGAGGAACATGAAGCCAATTGAAACACTTTCCACTGCACTTTGCTAATGCAATTTTTGTTGCTCTTAGTATCTTCCATGAGTCTACAGAGAACGAGGCGCAGAAGCACAGGAGATTAAAGACTGCAATATTTTAATTTTTGTGCTGACAGGCTTTTGGCATAATCTTTGCTAGGCTTGATTTGCTACTCTGCCTTGCAGAGTTGCCTGACTTGGACAAAAAGCAACATAAAAACTCTATCTGACCCTCTGACCCAAGGGCAGGCATCAGTTTTGTCACTGCTCACACCTGTGGCAGTGACTCTGCACATCTGGAGTCATTCAGGACCCAGGCAGAGGTGAACTACCCTGCTGCTGCTGGATGCTTGAGGAGGAGGGAAGAGTTGTTTGGATTAGATTTCCTTCCTCCCCACCACTGCCAGAATTTTGGCCCAGCAGAGAAATAAAAGTTCAAACAGAGGCAAAACCCGTATTTTGTTAATTTTATAATAAAGAACACATATTATCAAGTCCAACTTCCCATAAACCTACTTTGCTAGAAAAATCAATCACACAAGCAGGTGTTTTAGTTGCCTTGATGCAGGTGAAACAATACAAAGACACCAAGTGTAATGTGAAGTGTTATCTTAAATGTATTTCATCAAGAAAAGAAACAGGCAGTGCTGGCCATCAATTTAAGTTATGCTATTTTAGCCATAACACAGAGCTTTGATTAAATTTATTACATCCTTTATATGAATAAGCAAATAGACTACAAAGGTTATTACATTTTGTTATACATGGATTATTTCTTATGGAAGCCTTTGACTATGGAAGTCCTATTAAGATACTTTTTTTCTTGGCTCTTTTTTCAAGTTCAAGACTGGACAAATGCAACACCTACCACTGGAAAGGTCCAAACCAAAACTAAGGCATGCATGGTCCCATTGGGGAAAAAAAAAAAAAAAAAGAGTTTCCATTATATTAATGAAATTATTCTGCTTCCTGCTAACCAGTAAAACACCAAACTGATCCATCAGACACCAACACAGCCTTTTCACTTACTTTGCTTTTTCCAGAAGTTTTATTGCTTCTTCTCTTCTATCCTGGTCCAGATACAGTATTGCCAGCTCCAGCAAGGCATTTGGAATTAGATAATGGTCATATTTTATCTTCTTCTCACTGCATTGGAAAAGAAATAGCCTAGAGACCTTGAAATGATATATTGTTTCCCTCATTTAACAACTCCAAACACAAATAAATAGGAGATTAGCTAAGATCAGAAGGAGCAATCAATCTCTATTACAACACTTGTCATGTTCTCTATCGAAAGATCCCTTCTGGGTTATTAAATGTGTATTTTGCATAAGCATCCTACACAGTATGTATAATCTCAGGATCAGAAAATAATGCCTTTATTATCAGGGAGATGTCAGAAAAGATGACAATATCATGAGCTCTATCCATGTGAGCTGACAAAAAGAGGTGTCATTCACCACATCATGTGCAGAAGGTCCCAGTATAATCATGCTCCCACCTGTCTCTGCAGAGTGCATTTGTATTTTTGGGTACAGCTGCTTCTTGACTGGGAAGAGAAGGGGGCAATAAAAGCTAAGTGGTATCTGAAAAATTGTGTGCACCTACAGTCCTCCAAAAAGGAGAAAATACTTCAAAAATTATTTAAAAATAAAATAAAACCAGAAGATTTTATATTCTTCAACACATGGCTAATAACAGTGGAAATTAAAATTTAAACACCTTGAAGAAAACACTAAAGATACTGCAATCCTCTCCCTTCTATTCATATCATGGTTGCATCTCCTCTTACTTGAAACTCAAGAGCTCTCCTACATGCCAGGTATGAAAACTTACTTTAAATAGATGTAATTAAAGTGGTCTTCTGCTTCTGAGATCTTGCCCAAATGCTTGAAGCATAATCCCTTTAACAGCTTGATCACACACCGGTCATCTGCCAGTAGTTCTGTAGCTGAAGCAGGAAGTAAATGGCACATTTTAGAAAATTCTATAACAGAGAAGACTTCCCTGCCTGTAGGGAAACTTTTTGAAGGTAAGTGTGAGTACAGTTTATCTACTGGAACATAGGAAAAAAAAAGATGGTGAATTTAAGTTAATGCAGAGACAAACACATATCAACCTTTTCATAAATTGATTGAACTTTGTCCAAAAGTTGTTGGGCTGTTCTTTCCCTCCCTACTCCCACTGAACAGCTATTCCACAATCTTACTGCTCTGACACCTAAGAGCTAATTTAAGGTGTCCATTTTGTGAATATTAAAGTCCAATTTACAATCTCTCAACCCTTTGCCTTTATTTCCCTGTACAGCTCTTTTGCTTCCTGACTTGACAGGACCTATTCATGGGCAAGAATTTTGTCAATTCTCCACCTTCATTTGGCTAAATAAAAACAGGTGTACATCACATCTTACCATACCTTCTTTGGAGTTTATACTTCTGAGAGCCCAGAGTCTTACCAGCTTCACCTAGTTCAAAATCCTTACTATCAACACTCTTTCTCCCTCAGAAAATTTCTGCATAATACGTATCAAAAAAACTGCCAGATTTTTCATAGCCAATCCATACGGGCAGCTTACACTTAAATGTTCACAGGCAAAATATTCAGCTTGGTTGCTTATTTCCAATTCATTAAATATGCCTGAAAAGAGCAAGTCAGTATTTTGAACAGGCAACACTTTAAATTGTTGGCATGTTTAAAATATACCCCCACTTTTCAATTATATGTCCTCATAGTCTTCTACAAACGTGAATGTGCTACAAATCCCTGCAAAACGCAGCCTTAGCCACAACTTGCCTACTAAGAAAAAGAGGGAACAGGGAAATTGTTCACTTATTTTAAATAATGAAACAAAATGTGTGACAAAGAAGGTGAATAGGTCAAAGGCCTTTTTCTAAGATGTCACCTTCACTGAAAATATTTTCCCATTCTCTTTTTCAATTAATTAAATATAGATAACTTTAGCCAGTCTATCAGGCAACCCTTTCAAATCTTGTGTAACTCACTGCACAGAAATCCAAGGCCCTAGAAGAGACTGCAATGCAGTGTTTTAGCCTATATTCCTTTGTCAACAGGGGCTTGATCCTTTTGTAGGAAGGTTGTATGTAATAGTAGTAGGATCAAATATTGGTCAAGGAAAAACTGACAAGTGCTGTGCAGACTGCTTGCACTCCCACAAGAACTGGGAAAGACTGACAAGAAATAAACACTAATTCAATTTTCTCATGGATAGCTAATTAAGAGACTGACAGAAAATGTGGTAGCAGAGGCAGTTTCAGTTCAATCCCATATTGTGCTCATCGACAGAAAGGCCATCCCTGGTGTCCTGCATTTCTGCAGCACACTGGTGACACCAGAATATTCAACCCAAAGGTCACGCACAAACTGACAGCACTTCTAAAAAAAAAACCCAACTCCTCTCCTATTTATCCTTCAAAATTGAAGGTAACAAAATCTGAGGGCAACAAAGCTTCAGGATCCAAGTAATGAAGTCAATGAATATGCTGACGTTGTTCTAACAAAATAAACAGACCTTTATCACATGTCATAAACCATTCCTAACACACACCTGTGGATGGAAAAATCACTTACTATTACTGTAAATACTTGCTACGTTAAAAATATAAAATATTCCTATCTGCATAAACAGTTTATGGTTTCATTATCTATGTTCCTCCTGTGACCCAATTAACTTTACTAATGAGTGTGTCTCTATTCACAGATAATATCTCTAGCTATTGCAGTGTACAGTAACTGCTTAAACCCTATCACTCGTTACCTGAACTTCTTGCCAATGCTTCTTCTGCTTCATTTAAAGTCTCTAACATGCCTTCTGTTAAGTTGGGACATTTTCCAATTACAGCATAGCCATTCCAGATATACATCATTTCCTGGGGTCAGGGAGAAATGACAGCACCATTAATTACAGCACTGGATAAATGTAGTTTTCAAATACTTCAGTTTATCTCTACATGATGGAAAAGTAACAGGTTCCTCAAATAAAGTCACTTTGTCAAAATGTATTTTCATTGCAACTGAAAACTTGTTACACTGTTTTTCAGAACCAATTAGCCCTGGAAGATGCCTCAAGAGCCACTTACAGCTAACAATGCAAAGGAAATTGCTTGAACAGTATGCAAACACATTCTCACTTATAGAAGAAGGCAAGTACCAACAAAACAGACCCAAAACATTCATGGCACATGGTTAATTGTCTCTTCATTAAGGTTTCCTCTTTTTTTCAATTCTATCCTAGCAAAGGCAGTAATACCCATAAATAACTGCAATGCACTGCTTCCTGAGAAAAATTATGAAATCTCAGGAGAGTAAAACAAGCCAAAAAGAAAACCAAACCCTCTAACCTTTAAGCCAAGTTTCAAACAGACAAAATTTTAAATCTGAACTGCAAACTTCTTATGCTCCTCAGGTTTGTTTGATGTTCCCAAAGAAAACAACTTCCTTATTATTCAACTGTCTTTAGAGTAAGTTTTATTAAAAACTATTGGCTGAATTCCTATTTGCTATTTGGGTTCTTAGAGTATATCACCAAATGTGCCCATTGCTACTGCCAATCATAAAGCAAAAGATGAAAATATTATATGACTTACAACTGGCCTTCATGACATTATTTAATCATAAAATCACAGAACATCCTGAGCTGGAAGGGACCCACCAGGATTGCTGAGTCCAGCCCAATAGCAACCCAAGAACCCCACCCTGTGCCTGAGAGTGTTGTCCAAAAGCTTGAGTTCTGTCAGACTGGTGCTGTGATCATTACCTGGGGAGCCTGTTTAGTGTCCAACCACCCTCTGGAGGGGTGGCAGAACCTTTACCTAATATCCAACCTAACCTTCTCTGACACAGCTTCAAGTCATTCCCTCAGGCCCTGTCACTGATCACCAGAGAGGAGAGATCAGTGTGTGATATACTTATTCTATTTATTTATATGACCTTATCTGTGGGTGATAATTTAAAGCATTTGGATAAAATTTCTATATAGAAAAACTGAATTGTGGAACTGTGGCACAAAATGCTGTCAGGATAGAATAGCTGAAACAGCCTGTTAACCCCAGTCACTGCTGCTTTCACCATCTGGTCTCTGTTGATTGGAAAACCTGTGCTGAGCTTACTGGACCTAATGCAGATTCATTAACATGGTTTTCAAACAGAAGTATTCAAACACATTTATTCAAGCTATATCTCTGAGCTAAGGCTTGCTTGAGGACTCGCACTTTCCAGTAAGTCTCCTGATAATGAAAAGAAAAATCCTGGAGATGAGATTCTGTTCCCAGTTCCACATCTATAAAGTGCTTTTATCTGTTCAGCTGCGGCATCTGCTGCCTCGGAAATGTAACTGCACAGCAGCCAAGGATGTGCCCAGCCAGAGAGCTCCTGGTACAAAAACCTGCTCTGCCAAAATCCCATCAGGACAGCCCAGCCAAACCCCAGGTGTGTACACTCCTCTGAAACCTGAAAGGCACATCAAAGTAACCTAATTATTTCTCTCACTTCAGTCTTCCTAGTGGAACATGGCCCCTGGTGACTACCCATGCTCTGCTGTAACAACTATTTCAGTGTCACGTACCCCTGGTAGGCTGGGGAGTTGTCTCCAAGAGGCTCTCTCTGTTCTGGCATTTTCTTATAGAATATTCACTAATTATCCATCTCTTTCTTAAAAACACAACAGCTGAAAGCACTGCAAGAGTTAACACCGCTGCACTTGGCAAATCCCTGGACTCAAAACCCTTTTGTGCTCTTTTTTACATTTTCTTTGCAGACAGATTTTTCTAAGTGCAATGGGTGTCTCAATGCTACTGGCAACAGAGACAGGACGGAATTACAAGGAACAAAAAAATTAAACAAAAACCCCAGCAGTCGCAGGAGTTTTTTGGGATGGCCAAAGGAGTCAGTTGTTTAATCCCAGCACCCATGAGCTGCTCTGGAGAGCACCAAACTGCAAACATTCAAGGGCACATTAAGCAGCTCCTTACATGCAGGCCCCAAACCATCCATTGTTTCCTTGACACCACCCCTCCTTGTACCTTATAGTGCTCTGTTAGCAAGTGACACGACAGAAGAGACCCAGGGCAAAGTTCCTCCAAAGGGAACCAAAAGAAAGCTGCTGGGAGCACGCTACTCTATAGCTGGAATAATGAGTTACACATGCAACACATTTACGTGTCACAAACAGCTGGCTGAGTTCCCTGTGGCTGGTGCATGCCCCAGTTTTACAGCATTCCTTGCATTCATCTGGCTTTGCTTTGGGAACATTCCAGTCTCCTGCAGAGGTTTTACCTTAGAAACACAGAAAGATACTATTCCAATTATCTCGGGTTTATTTCTCTAAATTACAAATATGTTGGAAAGGGAGTGTGTGTGGATATTTCTAGCTTACCAAAGGCGGGACAGGCAAAGGAACAGGGTTTGAAGAGAGATACCGTCGTGCTTTCCGAATTGCAAACTTTTCTGTGGGCAGAGATTTCCCTGCAATTTTCAGTTTCAGGCTGGGAACAATCCTGAAAGTTTAAAGGAAAACATAAGGAATTTTCCCCCTATGAACCTCTGACATGAAGACATTCAAACTTCAAGACAACACAAAAAAAAAATCAAACCAAGGAGAACTTTAAAAAGCTGTTACAGACTGGGCTACTGCTACCTCGGGGAAGCTGAGCAATACATACTCACAAAAGCTGTCTTTATGCAGAGCACGTTTATCTCTAGGCTTCCTCTTTAATCAAGCAGGAGGAGAGGGACTCTTCCCCACTGAAAGATTAAATTAGATGATGCACCTGACTTATAAAGGGCTCATCTCTCTTCACAGACTAAGAAAGAGGCAAACTAGCTTTTGTCTCCCCATTCTCCCAAAGACTAAAATTATTCACTTCATAATGTATTCCAAATTCAGTGAAATCTGTTTATAATGATTACAAAAGACACAGAAAACTTGAAAAGAGTAATGTAATCACATTTAAAAATATTAGATTTCATATAAAAATCGTAAACCCTAAGGTAACCAAATTTTCTTTGCCCCAGCAAGCCTTTTTGAGCTCAAACATTTCATTAACATAGTGAGGTTATCTCACTGTGTTTATAATGCATAGATTTAATTGCACATTTAATTATGTCTTACTCCTCTGAGACTCAGAACTCAAGAATCAAGTTGTGCTGATGCTCCCACTAAGGAAGAACACATCTTGCAGCATAATCCATTGAAGGCTTTCACATCCTACATTCCATTTTGATTAAAGGAAGTAACTGAAAAAGAATGTATTACATGGAACAGCAGCAGCCACTGTATGGCCAGGAGAAATCTGCTGTCTGAACTCAGGGTGCACTTTAGTCTAAGGGATGTTTAACTCTTCAATTTCTTACCAATCCATTGCTATTTGCATGATAATTTTGCCTCTGTTCCCCCAACACTGTGACATGAAAAGGTAGTAAATTGTTGTAACTGTAAGTTTGCAAATTTTACCTAAATAATTCAACTTCGCTGTCTCCAAAAGGACTGCAGTCATCTGGTCCAAACATACTGAGATAAGCAGCTTTCATGTAAATGTAAGTAGCCTGAAAGTGCAACAAAGAATATCTATACAGAAAAATGAATTTACAGCATCACCTTTATTCATATAAAGCACAAAAGAGCAACATAAAGGGAAGCAGTTGCTGCTTTTGCTCACAGTCTTACATAAGTTTAAATAAGAGGTAAGTATTTTAGAAAGTGAATGTAGAATATTGTTTTTAAATCATGTATGTGTTTGCTTAGTATGTATCAGCCAATAGTTTGTGTCCAAATTCCAAGAAAAAATCTCATTCCTGAGTAAAGTAAGTTTTTAACACTCTTAGGAACACATGCTAGAAAACCTAAGATAAGGTCATGCCCAGAGAAAAAACCTAATAATATACAGTCTCTGTCCCATCACAACTTGGCAACATATCCCAAATAGTAGGTTCTAGAAAACAGTCACTGCCTGGAGTTCAGGAGAGCAGACTTTGGCCTCTTCAGGGATCTGTGTGGTAGAGTCCCATGAGATAAAGCCCTGGAGGGAAGAGGGCCTGTGAAATATGGTTAATATTCAAGCATCACCTCCTCCAAGCCCAGGAGCAATGCATCCCAAAAAAAGAGGAAGTCGGGCAAAAACTCTTGGAGGCCCATGTGAGTGAAAAAAGATCTCCTGGACAAACTCAAGACAAAAAGGAAACCTACAGAGGGTGAAGGGAAGGACAGGTAGCTGGGAGGAACACAGAGAAATTGTTTGAACAGCCAGGGATCAGGTTAGGAAAACTTAAGCCATAATGTCTGGCCAGGGATGGAAAGAGCAACAAGGAAAGACTCTATAGGTGTGTTGGTGATACAAGGAAGACTAGAGAAAATGTGGGGCCTCTCTGGAAGAAAGCAGGAGACAAGCTTACCCAGGATCTGGAGAATGCTGAGGAACTCTGACTTTTTTTCCCCTCAGACCCCTGCCTCCCAGCCCAAGTCACAGAAAGCAAAGGCAGAGAATGTGAGATGAACTGCCCAGGGCAGGAGAAGTTTGAGTTCAAGACCATCTAATGAACCTGAAGGGGCACAAGCTCATGGGTCCCAAGGGAAATGGTGAATGACATTGCTAAGCCCCTGCCCAGAGTATTTCTGAAGTCCAGCCAGCTCAGGAAAATTCCCAGTAACTGGAATAGGGGAAACATAACCCCCATTTTTAAAAAGGCAAAAAGAGAAGAGAAAGGGAGGAAAGCTACCAGGGCTCTGGATTGAAGAGCTCCTCCCTTCCAGATGCACAGGGATAGGCACCACCTCTAATTGTATTTATTACCCTGGAGGCGCCACCATGGCTAACCTCACTCACCAGCAGAAGAGCTTTTATCCAGAGCATAATGACAGAAATGGCAACTTGCACCATTAATTGCAACATCTGATGACACAACCAGTCACAACACAGCATCTTTAACAAGTTGCTCTTCATCTACCAGTTGGGCCCAAAAGATTTCTGCTTGCCCACCATCTGTTCAGATTTGGATGTTTGCAATTCACATCATTCTGTAGCAGTCACAGCAGGCCAGGTTTACCTTACAGTCTGCACCTTCAAAGCTACAAAAAATCAACTCAATTTGCTTGAAAGTTAATAGATACTACAAGGCCACCTGCCCTCCTGTTCTGCTGAACTTACCTTGGACCAAGTGTTCTCCTTGCTCAGCAGGTCTGCGTAGAAAAAAGCCATCTTCCACTGGCGCTTGTAGGTGAAGCACCACATCAGCTCCCAGTAGCACATGTGATGGAACTGCTTCCAGTACTGCTGAGCTTCACAGCACTCCTCGTACCTACTGACTGCCTGCACACAGAGATTTACAAACACTGCCTTAGTCAGGTGTAAATGCACAGACAGAGGAGCTGTAACACGCACTGGGGCTCCAGGATCTGCCTGTACGGCTCCTGCAGCTTCCAAATTATTGCCAGCCCAGTGTTTCCCAAAATCACATTTGTTTGCTTTACCTAAGAGATTCTTGGCTACACAGTCATGCTGGTGTTAGCAAGTTTACCCTGCCACAGAGCTCCCCACTCTTGAAGTTATTTTTCTAAGCATACTCAAAATGAATGTTTGTGTCTTGGGAAATTAGGAAACTGAAGGCAGACGACAGATGCTCAGCTGACATTTAGTGCAGCACTTTCATGCATTTCAAGGGAGCTACTGCCCTGCACACCAGCTGATACTCTGTCTCAGAGTATTTTGGACATGCATTCTTCATCTTAATTATTTTTTCAAGTCTTTTATGACTCTGTTCACACTGAAGGCGAAAGATTACCACTGGGTCTCATTAAAGATACAATCTGCCTCAGGATGGGAAAGACAATGACAAAACTGTGTAATTAATACTGGTGGACTACATTATCACCTGAAATTGAGAGGGGTAGCAAAATGAGGTGGAGAAACAAGTCAAAATAGTGATCAAAATTCCTGCTTGTAATTCAATAAACTACAAATTCATATAGGCCAAAGCCAGAGGAAACATTAGCCAAAAAGGAAATAACATTCCTGGAGGAATTTTTCCAATGGTTTTGAAATTTACTTTCTTAAGAGCAAAATGATTACTTACCGCATCAATATTACCCTTTAGTGTTTCTATCCTGCCTGCAAAAAACAGGAATATGGCTCCCTGTAATAAATAATAATAAAAACACAAGTATTCTATAACAGCTTTCAATCTGGCCATTCAGTCTAGATCTTTCAATTTTGGCATGAAAACATTAAATGATCACAACAAATAAATTATGGTTCATTTTACCTTTGGATAGCGTGCCAAGTAAGGCTTAAGTAGTTTTTCTGCCTCCTCAACATTTCCTTTTCCTGTCCCTAGAATGTGTAAAAATGCAAGTGATAAAAATAGTTAGAAAACAAAGCAAAGAAAAAAGAGAACAGGAATGCAAGGTACTGATTTTCTATGCTCAATTGGCCAACATATTGGTTCCTCTCTCCACTAAGGCATAAATACAGGCTGGTGCTGCACTAAGGCAGCAGCAGGAAGCCCTGAAAACATTGTGCTTCCTGACTTGAAAACTCAGGCACAAACACATTTTGTAGAACGATTTAGCAGGAGATAATACAGAAATACACATTAGCAGGAAGCTGTCACCTCCCAAAGAAAATCCAATGTCAACAAAGCAATTATCACTTACAGTAATTATTTTAACCTCCCCAACAATGCACCTGGCTAAAAACAGATTTTAGTTCTCATAACTCTCTTGGCCATCCCCAGTATCTCCCTTCTCACCTGTTAAAAAAAACCTCCATTTTAAAAGTGAAAACATGTTCTTCAGTTCTGATCATTACTGTAAAATGGCCAATAAATGACCTACACTTAATCTGGTTACAAACAAACAATTCACCAACAAATAGGTGAATCATCTTTTTCCCCTTTGTGTCCCACAAGAACTAATCAAATCCAAGAGTTATTATAAACAATCTTACCTAGCACAAAGGTCATGAAAGTATGATAGCAAAGCAACAGCATGGTACACAGCACCGACCTAAAGCTGTATGATGATGCTCCCTCTTGAAGCTGCAGCAGACCATGTTCCTGTGCAAACACAGGGAGGGGAACAAGGCGTTGGGAAAGAACCAGGGCTGTGCTTTGCTGGCTTAACCTCTGCAGGGTCAGCTACAGATTGCTCACTCAACAAATTCCCTAAAAGGCACTGAAAAATTCCTCAAAATGCACTAATTGTTTACACAGCAATTAAAGATAAAAATACACCTATTCATTTATCTAATAGTTTTTCATGGAGTTACTGCTTAGCCTGGAAAACACCTGGTGACAGAGCAACAACATGGGATGTAGTGCATGATTAACATAAGAAAATGAGAGACAACTTAACCCTGTGATCCAAGTGCTGCTAAACAGCATTCCAGAAACAAAACACAGGGTTTTGAAAACAAAAAAAACAAAACAAAACCCACACATCACCATTGTACAGTGCATTCTTGTTTGCTGTGGTTCACTGCACAGAAGAGTTAAAGGTATCAAGAAAATAAAATCTGCAACAAGCAGAGCAAAAGATGTCAGGGCAAAAAGACATTTTAAAGTATGCCAAGAACAAAAGGAGCTTTGCAATGATGTTGGCCCACTATTACCAGTGGAAAAATATGATGAAAAGAAGAGTATTTCTGTTCCCTTTGGGAAGAACTAAAGCAATCAAGTATAACAGTGTGTTCATAGTCAATGACAGCATGATGGATAACTAACTTTAGGAATTCAAGTTCCTGAGGCAAGAGCATTTATCAGCCCATTCTAGGACTAGTTCCAGGATATCAACAGCAAGAATATAAATATGCAAATGCATCAAACAAGAGATCTTCCTAATTTTAAATATGCACAGTAAGACATCCACTGTGTTCTGGGACAAAATCTGTTTAAAAGTTACTCCATCACTGCACTGGAAGGTAAATGGAACTTGATGTATGTGACTACAAGGACACCTTTTCAAACCAGCTACACTATAAATAGGAACCCTGAGGGATGTCTATCAGAGGAAGGGCATCAGGGAGAGCCCTCAGAGCACGATCCCAGCACAGATTTACATCTTTTGTGTGCCCTTGTTGACTGAGGGGTGTTACAGCACCACACCTCTATTGCTTACAGTGTAAACACTGAAGCCTGTAATCATATTCTCATTTTCCTCAGACATCTATTTTTGCACTTAACAAGTGTAGTTAATTGTTTTCACATAAATATAGGGGAGGTTGTGATTTTGTCTGTGTTTTTATTTTAAAAACTCAATGTATTACATTAATTACTGCTACAAGGAAAAATATTACTCATATTTGCAGATCAGTTATTATAATATCTAGTAGTTATAAAATAATGAAAATACTGACTTGCATGTCATTACAAAAGAAATTAAAAGATAGCAAAATCATTACAGAAAATCAGTGACTTAATGGAAATCAAGTACTTAGCAAAATCAAACCAGCTTCATTTTTGCTGAGAGGAAAAGTTTGATGGATACAAATAGGTAACAAAATATTATATATTCAGCTTCTTCAAACTGCCCAGATGAAACCCACAAATATTTGTATTTTTAAAAAGTAGCACTTCAAGGTAGAAGTAAAACAAAATATTCTCTGGAATGAATTTTGGTAAAAAAAATTTCCAAAGTACATTTTTTTGCAATGAAAAATCTTCAGGCTTGACATTTCACTGAGCCTTTACTCAAACTAGGCCTTACAGTATCTTCCATATTAAATATATATATATAATGATACGTGAATAGCACTAAGAATGATTCAAACAGACTTTGTTTGTCATATAAAATAATGTAACATTTGTCAAGTTGATCTCAATTATGTTTTAGTCTCAAAAGCACATTTGAGTGCAGCCAAACACTAAAGTTATAATCTCTATGGACAAGGAATGAATCCACACCCATGTTACACAGGACTACATCTTGGATAGCAGTAACTGGATTAAGAATATTGCCCATTCATCAGAAAAGGGCTGCAAATCTGACACCCTTAATTCTAAATTCTTGAACTGAGTAGTTATACAGGCATGAGGAGCTCACTGAGCAAGTTAGTGCACTCTGTGGAATATCCACAAACCTATCTAGTCCAGCAGAGGTATAAAAGGCTGTTTACTTTTCACTCTGCCACCTGAATATCCAAAACTTTCTGTATTAAAGTAATAACAATCGGTAGAAGACACAGCCTAAATAAAAGAAATCTAGAAGTAGCTGTTATTAATATTTTAATACTTGCTTGTAGAATACACTACAGCAAAGCTGCTTCTCCTCAAAAAAACCTCTTGCAAACTGCTTCTCTTACAATGGGATACCCAGAAAATAGGAATATGAAGGGTGTGACTGGGAGCCATGTTTTACATCCCACACTCCCTAGCTGGCCTCCCGAGGCTCCCTCTGTGCCTGGCTGAGGCAGAGGTGCTCCTCCAAGGAAGAGTTTGGCACAGCAGCCTGGATCAGGCACATGAATCACCTTTCAAGCACCACCCTTTCTCCACAGGGAGCCTACAGGGATTAGCCAACAATCCCCATCAGCCAAGGGAGTGCCAGGAGCTGGACAGTGTAAGGTTCTCTGGGATCAGACTGAGGATCTGGGAACCAAATCACAAGCAGCTACCTGAGCCTGAGGAGTAACTCTGCAAACACACTGCACTCACTTAGGGACTGGCACAGTGAGTACATTACATTTAACTGTCAGGACACACCTTCTAACCATAAATGACCCATAACTATCTCCCACACCTAGGTCACAAGTGACAGAAGCAATCCCAGAACACCAGAAATGAGCCTCCAGACAAAGTCGATTACAGGGCACTTAGTGAATATAAAATAGGTGTCAAGGCAGTAAGTGTTGGTAATTTTTCCAGAGAGATATTTTTGTAATTTCCCTAATTGACAATAACACATTTCAGTTTTATTTTCACACAAAACATAAACTACTCTGAAGGATACAAGGTAGAACACAGAGCAGACATGATCCAGTGGGGTAACCCTCAGCATTCTGTGCAAGTTCCTCATGACATCCCACAATTTAAATCCCAAGACTGTCACTACATTATATTATATCAGTATCTTATTGATTCAATTCTTCTCCCAAGACATCCAATTCAGGATCAATTCAATTCTTGTCCCAGTCCAATCCAGTTCATTCAGGACTCCCCACGTGAGCACTGGGGATTCCCAAAGCAACTGCAGGACGAATAAGGACAATGCTCAAAATCATTATCAGACAACACTGAGACTAGTTCATATTTATTTCAGCTGTTACTGACTAAAACCCATCGACTTTCCTGAAGCAAAAGTTCTTGGATGTTATTTTTAAAACATTCTTTTAATTTGGGATCTTGGCAATGAAGGCAAAAGCAGGGTCATTTTTCATATTCCATGGCTTGACCACATTGCTGCAGGTTAGGCAAGGAGGATGGGTACTACTAACAGCTTTACAAACAACTGACTAATTAAGCTGATAGACAGGGCTTTGAATGTATATCATTAAATAATATTAGATTTAAGCTTCATGTAAAATTTGAAGAGACCAAAATGCAATTCAAAAGAGATGCTTAGTGAGAAACTGGAATTCAATTTATTAGAAATTGACACATCAAGAGTATTCTTCAGCTTGGGGAAAAATGTCCTCCCACATTAAAAAAAAAAAAAAAAAGTATAATTTGAAAGAAATTGGTTCTATCTGACAGTTTTCCTGCCTTCTCATGAAATCATGCTGTCATCTGACCCCCTGACAAATTGCACTTAACATATGGTAGGCTCACGTCAAACTGTTCTAGAGTTTAGCAGCACAGCATTTGTAATCACCTATAAAATAAGCAGAAGAGTAAATATTAGCCTGAGAGCTGGTAGAGGAGGCAGTGGGGAGGGTTCAGGCTTGCAGGGAGACAGTGCAAGGAGTCTCCTGCACTCGTCACAGGTTAGTCACAGTTGAACACCCAAGTGCAGGTGGGACACACGCTCCACCTGCTGCCCAGTGAGGCTGCTGTGCTCCCCAGCACAGGGTGCCTGACACATCTCTGCCCACGAGGCTCTTCCCTCAAAACTGGGTAAAACTGCACTCAACTTCACTGCCCAAATGTGGGGTCTGTGCTACTAAACACAAATAAGCCCATGATCTGAGTAATGATGCAAGGGAAAGGAGCTTAAACAGTGCGAAGGGCACAGCTGGCACATCTTGGACTGGAAGGGAACAAACACAGCCTCAGGTTATTTTTTATATTTTCTTGATCTTATCCCACCTACTATTTTGAGACTCCAGACTGCTGTTAAGTTGATCATAATGTCCACAGAGCTTGCAAATGGCTTAGGAAGTGCTGGAGCCTTGGGCATGTCCTCATTTGCTGTTTGCCATGACATGACTCAGAGATAAAGCAGAGTCCCCAGGGGCAAACGTGCTGGCTTTGAGGCAGGTTGGTATCGTGGAGGATCACACAATGCAAATTTATATCCAGTTTTAGTAAACATGTGACCCACACCAAAATCAAGCTGTCCTGCAGTGCACTACAGCTCTCCCAGGTAATCTGTAAACAGCTCAAGGCACTAACCATGACTCTGCTGCACAATCTGATACTCAGAGTAAGCATTTAAGGGAAAAGGCTGCAGTATCAAACACAGGTGTATGAAAAGCTCCTGGACAAGTGAAGCACAGATGAACAAACTTTCTACTCCTCCTCTGTCACTACTTCTTTCACCCTCTAGACTCCTATATAAATGTTAAATGCAGAAAGTCTTTTTTAGGATGTTAAAATAAATTTTTCAACAAATAAATTCATTGTGATCAATGAACTTTGATCAACATGTTTAAAACGCTCCTTTGCATGGTGTGCAAACAACAGGGTTTTGCTCAAATTTATGGTAATCTAGGTCATGCTTCAGTGAGTTATTAAGAAACTGTATTAGGAGCTGACTCATCAACACAAACATCATCCCACTCACAGCCATACAAGAAATCCCAGGGCCAAATAAAAACTTAATTGGAGGGACAATTTCCATCTGCAGGAGTAAAATGAGCATTCACCAAAGTATTCTCAGAACTCTGCTGGTACGTGAATTGCCTTTACATTTTTAAGAGATTATTTTGCTTTAAATGCTCTGTTGTTGAAACTGACAGGTAGAACTATTTGATTTTCGCCTTTACTGCTGTGAAATAGCTTCTGGTCTGCTCCTGTAAATTTCTAAATTGTAATCCACACTCTGCCCCTTGCTTTTAAATAAGACATTTTATTTTCAGATACAAGATCTTTCCTCTAAACCAATAAAATGGCGATAACAGTCATTCACCTGCCATGTAAGGCTTCAGCTCTGATAAAAAATACACTTTCTTCTTAAAACTTGTTTTGTAAATAGAAAGTATTATAAAAGAGTGAGTTTTCTGGAGCTACATTATTGAACTTCCTTCCTTAAACATCTTTCTCAAACTGGTTGGTCAGACTGGTTAGAGGCAAAAAAGCACTTACTCCCTTAGGCAGGAGACTTTTGGTGCCACACTCAAATTTCCAGTTGCTATTAAAGCAGAAATAAAATAGATTTTTGTTTTCCCCTGTCATGCAAGAACCTGTCAGGAACATTCAGACCCCGTAATGACAGTTGCTACCAAGGAAGCTATGTAGATATATTGAAGGCTAGGAATACACTTTTGGCTACAGATTTCAGAGCACAACCCTACATCAAAAGACCAGCAACTAAAAACCTAAATACATTAACACCCCTGTATTAGCCATTGCCTTTACTTATGTTTCACAACTGTTTCAACACTGAACAATGGTATGACAACCTTTGAAGTGCAATAGTTCAGCAAAAAATATAAAGAAAACTGAGCTGCATGAAAGCATCAGTGCCACAGTGCACATGTGTGATACCAGAGGGTTACAGCTAATGTGAGGGAGAAGAGAGAAACTCCTGCCTCTGTTTTTTTAACTTAAGAGTGAGGGGAACGTACCAATAATATTCAGTTCACATTTACCTTATTCCCAGAAAATCCAACAAACTCCAGTAATCTCAGAATCCGTGCAGGAAACATGGATAATGTCTACAGGGAAAAATGTAAGATTTATGCAGCAGCAGACTTTCTGCCTTTCAGCTACCAATGGCCTCCTACACTCTTCCCAAACACAAGAAATAATTAATAAAATTACTAAAATCATCTCTATATGACATTTTTTCACGGTAAATGTATACACCTGCTGTATTTTACGTACAATTTAAACAGAAATATATTTAATATAGGCACCTTGTGTCTCCAGGATGCCCTACACAGAAATATGTTTACACAGAACATGCTTGGTAACTCCAGTACACCTTGGACGTTTCAGAAACACTGGGTTCATATCACAGTCCATATTTGTTCTTTGTGCAGTAAAGATGGTATTTGGCACGTACCAGACTCATGCAAAGCAATGCAAGCAAAAGAAAGCTCCAGGCACTTTCTGCAGCCCATCCCCTGAACAACCAAACAACCACATCCACTCTCACCATCTCTGGGTCAGTCCCTCCCCAGGAACCATCCTGCACCATTTGCTCACCTGCAACAACAGCCAACAGTGGCTGGAACAGCACCTGAAACTTAATTCATGTACCCCACCCTTTCCAGCTCCCCTGCTAACAGCCTAGATCCTGGTAGTTTGCCAAGTGTCAGGTAAAGAATTTGACAGGCAGAGGCAACTGGTGCTACTGGGCAAGGCTTCTCTGTGCCCTCATGCCATGCTGTGGGCAACAATCTCTCTATTTCTGAAGTGTTATTATCTGATGTTCTCAGCCCAAACACTGGGATCCTGCACTGTCAGAGCACACACCTAATTTTAGCCAAGTGATCCATATGATGCCAGTGGAACTTCTTATGAATTCAAGTTAGGGTCATTTTCAGGAGGTAGCAGGACACCCAGCTCAGGATGAGGGTGTTGGTACATACCAGGTTAAATGCTCCAACTCCAAGTTTTACACCTCCCTCAAAATGAAGATGGTTCTCTCCTTTGACATAATGTGGGGACTGTATGAGACTGTCCAACTCCCTGGAAATGCACAAGACTCTGTTACAGTGTCAGTAAATAACATGGTTAATTATAATTCAGTAAGAAAGTAACCCATTACCTTGAACTACAGAGTAGTTTATAAAAGGCCAATTTGTCATCTCACTCAAGTGAACAAAATTTACATTTTGCTGGATTTATCAACAAATATTTTCTGTCACATTACTATAAATTAAAAACCATGGAATCCTGGAGAGGAATTCCTGTCAAACAGGCACAGTCAATATTCAACTACATTTCAGACTGAAAATGTTTCAAGGATGGCTGTTGGGAGCATCACCAAACTTTGCCACTGCAAATCAAGATGATGGAGCAGTGCACAAGACTTAAATTTAAATTAGCAAATTTAACTTGAGTGTCACTAATCCCTGAACTGCCTGCATGTTCAAAAGAATATTTTGTTTTACATAGGAAAAGACAATAGTAATAAATATTCCAAAATGGGCAGATGCATCAGAAATTACTTTCACTCATTTTTCTAACTTTTATAGGTCTCAGCTTTGTAGTGTCCCTTTATTTCTCACATAATCCAGCTCAGTTTGAAATCAATTTGCCTCCAAGCTTTCTATAGCTATGTGGTTTTTACACTACTGCTTTAGTTTATTTTGTTAATTATTAGGAGAGGAAAAACACTGGAAAAAATGGAAGCATGCATTTGTGTTCAGGCTGTCACATTTTTTTGACTGTGTGTTGCCAACAGACTCAGCATTATTTCCTGTAAGTGTAGTCTTCTGAACCTGCATTTAGAGACACCTTCAACCCATACAAATATGGACACTGTCATCTCTCTCCCGTCCAGGACTTCTGGAGAACCTGGACTTGATGCTGTTTTATGTCTGCTGGACACAAGACATTTTGTGCCCACTCTGAATCAAAATTTATAATTCTAAAATAAATAAATGCATATTTAGCTTTCACTTTTTACTGTACTTCAGCTACTGGTATTAAATGCTCCCAAAAGCTGCAGCTGGTACTATAAATAAATGCCATTTCTTCATGCCTAAAGCCTACAAGACTTGCAAATTCTGCTATGCTGACACAATGAACAGTACATAATCTAGAACAGTTACTTTTTGGACATAATTTCAAGGATATAGTATTTGAAGTAGAATCCAAATCAACCATAATGTTAATGTCCTTTGTTATGCAAAGGAAGAATCTGTTCGGGCTGAGGAAATCTGTAGACATGAGGTCCATAATAAAGACTCAATAAATAGAACAGTAATGAATTTGTGAATTGGATCCTTTCACCAGCAGCTCTTTTTACTGTTAGAGTGCACTTAATGACATCATCCCTCTGACTCACCTGTAGGTTTGGTAACTGTTGCGGACTTTGATGCCTCCTTTTATGAAGCTGACCATATTCTCATCCTGTTGGAATGGAAACACATTAGCAATATGAATCTGTAAGCACTATAAAGCACTCTTGTCTTCTGAAGATGAATACACACCTGAAACATAATCAGCATGACACAGACAATATAAGCCTCTAAGACATAATACATGGATTTAGGATTTCCCTTCTATATTAAAATATTTTTTACTCTGTTTAGACACAGGCATTTTATTTTAATGCTTTCCATGAACAGTTTAGCTCGTCACCTTTGAATTTGTATTTATGAACACAGGGACTCGGCTAATAGATTCACCTAAATTACATGCATTTGTGGCTCTTTCAAAAAATAGCTTTCTCTCACTTGTACTTGAGTGTAGTTAGGATGTATCTGGTGCTGAGCCAGGAAATGTTCACATGTAAATTGCCTGTCCTCAAGAGTCTGCATGATACAGTTTCATATCCTAAGAGTGAAGTAGGGTCAGTAAAATTATTCAGGATATGCTCTTTATTGTTTGAATATTCATAACTATACATAAGATCCATACTAGGAAGATAACATGTTACATGATAAGCTATAATAAACTGATAAATTACAGCAAAGTATCTGGGGGACCATTATTTAGATGGTCTTTTGTTTCATAACTTTTTGGAGGCACTTTCTGGCCTCACTTATATAATCTGTCATTAGTGTTTGTTTTGATGTCTGTGGTTACTTTAAGACAGAGAGCCTACATGTGTTTTAACAGAACATACCATCACAGAAAAATCATAAGAGGGCATTGTGGAGAAAATAGCAAGGTTTAGATTAATTAATTAGATGTACTAACTAAGTACAGCATATTGGGCGGTGCAGCACACCCAGCCATGTGTAAAGGTTCAGTTTTATTTTCCTTTGACTCGCAAGTGGAACAAGGAAGGAAGATGGGTTTTAAAATGTTTACACTCAGAATTATACCAACATCAGGGATAGCCACTGTGAGAATTTTTCAGCCCTTGAAAAATGCTTAGACTATATTTTATGTGTTTTCAACTGGATTTGATCATTTTTACTAAGCATCAAAACTAACCCACTTCAGTAGCTGTTGGAACCAAGTGCGTCTATTTAATTTTTCAAACTAGTTTATGTGTTCATGAAAAATTAAATGCAGAAGAGAACAGGAAGCAAAGAGGCCTTTGCAAAAGAGGACAAGAAATTGGTTTTGTACTCTTAAATCTCATGTTTCTATAAACATTTTCATAAACAAATATAATGCTTAAAACCCAGAGACACTGCTTTAAAATGCTCCTTTCTTATAGACATAACAGAGAAGCTGTCAAAAGTCTTCCTTCCATAGTTTCAGAGCTCGCTCAAACTGCCCCAGTGCTAGAGGCTACTCATCCCAAAGGAAAATGGAAACAGGTAGCTACACCTTGGTCATTTCAAAGTCCATCATCAGTACTCTAGAAACTACTAGAAGCTGACCTGATTATGGGTGTTGCTATGAAGCAATAGTTTCTAGCAGAGGGACTTAGCAGATGGCTGAAAAAGGTTACATGGTTCATAAACTGTAAGCAACATAAATCAGAGCCCACCTGGCAACTCCCAAACACTATAAAACCACCACCTGCATTCCATTTCCTATCAGCACCCCTGAGCCAAGAAGCAGCAGCCTTTTTCTGACTGTGGCTTTTATTATCCCCTTGGTAGATGAAGAGGCCCACTTTCATACAGCAACTACAGCCAAATCAAGAAGAAAAATCAGTTATTTCAACTGTGACTAACAATTAAAATTGCATGCTGAAGCCCTAGCAAGTACTGCTAATGTTGCTCCATCAAAGAAATCAAGCTTCATTAGGACAGACAGATAAAATCCAAAAAAGAGGGACAGCTCCCCTTTGTTAAAGACAGACAGCACTGTTAAGGAGAAAGCATGTGTGGAGCCTAATAGCTATGCAGACCATAACTGCTGTTCAAGAACAAACCAGTGAGAATGCAGTCTTGGGGAAGCAAACACCAGCCAGACTCAAACAAAAGTCTTGCTTGTATTCCAGCACAGCTTTAGTGACCATCTAATATTTTTTTTTAAATCTGATATCCCAACACATAATTTAAAACTTGGTGCTTGCTGCAGTTACATTTCACACATCCAAAAAGGAGTGGGGAAAGGTGTCAGAGGGCACTCAGCACTGTGTGTCTTGACATAGGTATTTTTTAATAATCATGAAGGAAAACTAAACATTCTAATATCTCATCAGATAGTCCAGATAAAATCCAGACTTGATCCAGCTGAAAGATCCATTAGGTCAAACTATTTAGGAAAATAAACCTGTATGGTATTTTTTTCCCCCCAAGAGCCATGCAGGAATCCATACCTGGAGGAATGTGAGTGCTGCTCTCTGAAGTAAACATTCAGCATAACAAATTTCTGCATGGATTTCCTCTAACATCACACAGAGAGAAGAAAACAAATCAGTCAAAAAGTAATTAAAAAACACTTAGCCCATTAATGTAGGAATAAGATCACAGAACTCAAACTTAGAAAAATATTTTCCAAATTTGCTGTAGTGTTTCAGTTCTAGACTACTGATGTAACTCCAAACAGAAATGACATGCAGTTACACAAACTTTGCAAATTTTTCTGGTGCTTTCCATAAATTTCTGGACCTAGAACCTTTACAGACATTTCAATACTTCTTTCTAGATATTTCTTTACCCAGCAATTTTTGGGAGTGCTGTGTCAGAAAGCAACAAGACCAGTGATTTTGGATTGGTTACACAGCAATGGCCAAACCACTGACATTTGGTCCAGCAAATCTAGATCAGTGATTTTGTCAGTGAATTCACAATTTGCAAGCACACATTGAGTGAACAATTCTACAGGATTCAAACTACATAAATGGGAAAACATTACTCATGTGAAAGATGTTACCTTCAGTGAAGTGTTCAAGGCTTTGCCTATGCACAAGGTTGTTGAAAGAATCAGCTACAGTAGATTTCTTCCTAAATCTGCAAAAAGTCAATTTGGACATTCTGAAGAAGGAGCATCACCAACAGAGAACCATATCTTTCAGCCAGCCACCCACACAGTCTCTCATGTGCCTCCAGTGCTCACCAGCCCCCTATGATCTCACCACACACACAAACTTCAGCACAGTGCACAGAGAACTTAGAAAACATGGTCCTCCTGGGATCTGTCTCTTACCTTTTGTGCACAGAAATCTATCTTGATGAAGGAGAGGGATAAGAGGGTGTTTTGAATTGTTTTTTGTGTGTATGGGTGAATGTGGGTGCAAAAGTGGGAGCACAGTTGACTCAGACAGACAACTGCAGTACACCCATCACCCATGGGAACATTCTGCAGTGTTTGAACATGGCAAACAACTTCCAGACACTGCAGAACCAGGACTACAGGTAGGACAAATTCTAATTGATAAGAAAAATCAGATATTGTGGTAAATTGAAGTTTTCAAGACTACACTGCTGAACACCCTCATTTATGTGCTGTGATCCTCCTCTGAGCAGGAGGCTGAACTAGATGACCTCCTGATGCCCTTCCAACCTCAGTTTTCCTGTGATTACTGGATACAAAAGGAAATGTAATCTTACAGAAATCTTTCAAAACTTTCCCAATAAGGAACTGTTTACTGTTGGAATTGCTCCAGTCTTACCTTTGACAGGTGGCTTGAGCTTCCTTCATTGTGTTCCCTGCATTCAGTATGTCCTGAGGATCAAATGTCATCATAGCTTGCATCTCCAGTATGGTGGCATAAGTCAGGGCATGATACATGCTGTCTTTAGTTCTGCAAGAAAACAAGAACTTCAGTTCTGCAAAGCACAGCTGGTTTGATTGTATTATTGCTTTTAAAAAGCAGATACAAATCCAGTTCTAGAAATGTATCAGCCTCATGGGAACAAGGTCTAAATGAGCTAGAAATCAAACACAAAGCACATACAAAATAATCAAGAAACAGTAATAGATTGAGATTTGTATAAGAAATAATATCTACAGTTCTCTATACTCTGCTAAAATGAATCAATTCTGAGCTGAGGATAGACATTTAACAAATATAAAGCACAGAAATTAACCACGCGGCTCACCATTCAGAAACAACAGAATCATGGTGGGGTTTATTTGGTGGGTTTTTTTTTTATTAGCTACTGAATTCTCCAACATATGACACAAATCCAGCTGATATTCTTCTAATTTTGGACAGTTACTCAGTACAGGCTCAAGGAGATAAGGAACACAATACTATAACCATGGCCAAAATAGAATCTCCTTGAAACAGATCTTCTCACCAGAAGCATTAGAGGCTGTATCAAAAAGTACAGCATTTTTCTCCTCTCCCCTTCTACCAACCCTCACCTCAATCTGTTCAATTTAAATATTATTCTGTAGGGTTTCAGACAGTGCCACGTTGGCAGAAAGTAAAAAGTTTTGGCATTAGTGCAAGGAAAAGAATTTACTCCTATGTGCAGCCATTGCTGCCACCTTTCCTCTGATAGCAAGGAGGGTTTATATATTGCACACATTTAGAGCATTCACCTGTATCTAGTGAATTTCTCTGCAAAATACCTTCAGGCACAGAGGTCTAATAAGGATGATTTGAGAAATATGTTGAAGGGCAAGCTCAGATAAATTCCTAACACAGAAATCCTCTACACCTTGCTAATCCACCCCTGACGAATAGCACGACTAAAGACAAATATTGTTAAGGAGCAACAATTGCTATTTCAATTGTTTACACTCTAGAACAGATCAGATAGCTTTATATGGCAGGGAATGTTCAAAAATACTTGCAGTTAAACAAAGATATCCTTTCAAAATCTCCACCCTCAGCACACCTGTCCTCAGTGTGTTTACTTCAGGTGCTTCTTAATTTTCTTTTTCTTTCAAGGAGAAAGTGGTGTGCCAACAACATGCTCTTGACAAAGACAGGGCTGCGTTAAGAGGAGAGTTGCTGCCAGCAGGATGAGAGAGGGGCTCCTTCCCTCTGCAGAACACTGGTGAGGCCCCTCCTGAGAGCTATGCCCAGTTCTGGGCTCCTCAGTGCATGGACACACTCAAGAACAGGGTGGTGAGGATGATTTAAGGGACTGGCACATCTCTCCTATGAGGAAAGGCCAAGAGAGCTGGGAATGTTCTGGCTGGAGAGAGAAAGCTCAGGGGGCTCCTATAATATATAGAAATACCCGAGTGGAAGAAGCAAAGAGGACAGAGCCAGGCTCTTTTCACGGGTGTCCAGGGACAGGATCAGAGGAAATGGGCACAACACAGAACACAGGAGGCTCTGGCTGAACACCAGGAAACACTTTTTTTTACCATCAGGGTGACCATGCAGTGGCACACAGCATCCAGAAAAGTTGTAGAGTCTGTATCCTGTTGTGAGACATTCAAAATGGCCCTCCTTGGGTACATGACTTTCTGAAGTGCCTTCCAACCTCATCTCCTCTTATTCTGTAGGATTTTTTAAGGAAAAAGCCAGACTTTAAAGACACCTCCATCAATGTAATTTTTCATCCCAGAAAAACACTTGCCTCCCTAGGTTTTGGTATCTGGGCTGAACTGAAAGAAAGTTTAATGGATAATTTCAGATCATCCTACATTAATCAATAATCTAATAATTCACTGTGGTGACTTGGGCCTGGTGCTTCCCAACCCTCACACTGACGAAAGAGGTCTTCTTTTTCCAACACATAGGGCAAAGAGTAGGATGGCTGCACTCAAGAAATTTGCAGTGCACGTCTTTAAACTTCACTGCAGTCTGTGCTCTGTAGCTGTCCTTAATTCCTACTGGCCCTCACCATCTAAACCAATCTAGCAGAAAAGCTGTTTTGGGAAATATCCTGGTGCCATAAGTGCTATAAGACCCAGACTGTGCTACCATCCATCTCATTTGCAAGCTAAGAAGAACAGACAGATAATGGAGAAATACTTTAAAATCTAGTGGAGTCAGGACAGCTCTTTCTTGGCCTCCTAGATCATGATTCTTTCAGTAATGATAATGTAAAGTAGAAAAAAATGAACACACCAAAATGCCAGCTTGATGAAGTGTTCATTAGATTATTCATCAGCCTCAGTGGGCACAGAAACACACACTTCATCTTGTATTTACTAAACTAAAACCCTTCCAAAGGCTCAAATTCAAAGCACAGGGAAGTGACTTAAATAATACCCTTTCAAAATTACAGAAATTTGCTTTCTAAAGCAAAGCAGATAGCCATTAAAATCAGTGCACTAAAAGGAAAATTAGTACTTTTCACATATATGTGGTGAAGAGGTATTTCCCTCTCCAGTAATTTGTTTATTAAACCAAACCACCCCTTCCCTAATCAAGTTTTATCTATTTTACTTCTAATATTTAAAGGAGATAATAATTAATGTTTATCATTAGCCAACTGGTATTTAGCAACATTCAAATTTATTCTTTTTATTTCAGGGGTGGGGATGCTGGCAGAAATGCAACTCATCTATGCTATTTCTATTAACCATTCAATTCACATTGCCAGCTACATCCTGGCATATTCCCAGGAGTTTTAAGGCCTGGGTCTCATATGGATGGATACAGAATTTAACTTATCTTTTCACTTTTCTTCTTTTGATTCCTTAGCAGCAATTTCCTCAGGACATTGTTGGAGTTAACAAGCCTGTATGACATGAATGCAACTAATATTGTGATTAATGACTTATCCCAGTAGTTGGTATCACATGACTGAATAAGAAGATTATAAGTAATATCTTTAGGCACTTATGGAGTTCTGCCACATGCCTCTTCTCCAACTATGGTGCAATCATTATCATCTTGCAGCACTGCCCTTTCTTGAAGCTGCTGGAGAACACTTTTATTCCTGCTCTAAAACAAGTGCTAAGTGAGAACAGTCACAGCTTTCCAGCTAAGTATGAAAATCAAAAAAAGCTTGGCTTGGTTGGTCCTCAGAATTAACCCAGGGCTAGTAATCTTTTGTGAAAAATAGCACTCAAAATCCTTTCTGTAGATCCTTTACAGTAATCCAGCAGAGAGGACATACATTCCTAAGCTACAGAAACCTCCGATTCAAATCCATATGTTGATTTAGTATCAAGATGCTTCCAACACTTAAAAGACATCCCAAATCCAGCCACACAGAGCGAGACTCTGCACAGACCAGTAAACAGCCTGCTCATCCAGGAGGACTCAAGTGAGAGATCAATGCCCAAATCAAACTTGCATCAGGAGAATATGGTCACAAGGGGCCTGAAGGCTTTCCTCATCTTTGATCCCAGCTTCCACCCAATATCTGAACAACTCACTAGACCCATGGCACAGGCTTTCACAGAAATGCTTTAACTTGATGAACCAACATTTTCTGGTAAAAACCCTTTTCCTGCAAGATTCCCCAGTAGCATTAAGCCAACAACCAGCAACAACCTCTCCAGTCAGCCACCACCACAGCTCCCTTGCTAGCACAAGCCACCAGGATGGCTCAAGACAAAAAGCTGTGCTTCAACAAGAGAATCCCAGAGCCTTTTTAACCAAAGCCGTTTTCCAAAATTCAGAATCTGCTACATTCTTCCAGCAAAGAGGTGAGACCAACAATTGTGTTAGGTTTTGTCTGCAATTAATTTATTTACAAAGACTATAAAAGTTGTGTTCTTCCAGACCTCAGGTATAAAAAGATAAACCCCCTAGAAATAACAACCTTGCTCTTGCTCATGACAAGACATTCCTTACAATAAATAGCTAACCCAAGCTTTGAGCAACATATTTATCCAAGCACTGTCTAGAGCTTCACTCTACCTGGGTGTGCTTCCCCCTGTTCTTTCACCACTCACCACTTGACAATCACACCTGATCTTTGGGAGATCAGCTCCTAAGGAAAGCTTTTGAATCACAGTCATTCCAGAATTAAAATTCCACTAAACAATACCAAACAACTTTTTGAAGTCTATTTTCAGAATAAAGTCGACTGCCTGGAACAAAATAATTGTCTTATTATTCCTTTAATATTGCAAGCAGCAACACATTCGGTGCACCTCATCCAATGGTCCAGATAATTCTGTCATTAATTTATCTTACTTACCATTCTCCCAACGGATCTGATATCACTAAACTATCAGGTAATTATGTCATGTTTTCCTTCAGGATAATTATTAAAACATTAAGCATTTGTCTTGGGAAGGGAAGGGGACGTATCACTAGAATCAACTCTTAATTTATTATTGTCTGTTTGCAATTACACAAGGGCTAAAATCCAGTCAGCATTTAATGGATTTACTGCATGTCTCAGGGTTGAGAAGGAAGATGAGATTTTTTTTTTGCCCTGCTCCAGTGATTGGACAGTTTCAATATTCAGTTATGCATGTTAACACATTACATATTGAAAATCACTGCTGTGCTTGGTGACTGAACTTTGGGAATTTGTTAAGAGTTCTTAGATGCAGTGTGAGTACTCCATATAAAAGATAAATTTAATTAAACTTATTGCAGAAAGCACAACATAATCAGAACTATTGTACAATAATCAGAACTATTGTACAATGATTGCTAATAATAATGAAAACTGACTCTAAAAGCTAGAAGGTAGTTCAGGAAACAAGAAAAGTTATGTAACATGAGGCAAAAACATCAGATGTATTTTTTTCTATGAAATGAGATCTCTTCTTTATAATGGATTTGTTTTTCTTTGTGAGGGATTTGCTTTTCTAACAGGAAAAAAAGAGCTTTACCTCAACACAAGTCTAGACACCATCCTCAGATATTTCTTTTTGAGCTGCTAGGAAAGCTCTTCTGATTTTAAGCCTCATACATTGTGCCAAATCTGCTGTCAGTTTCACATGGTACAAATTAGTTGAAATTACACTTATTGTGGAAGTCAAATGTGAGTAATTTAGTGAATCTGCATTAACGTAATACAGAGCAGAGTATCTCCTACACCAGAAGTGTTAAAGCCACAAAAATCTAAAATATTGTATTTTCCACAAGCATGTAAAAACTGAGAAGCATTTATCTAAACACTGATAGTATGTTTATGGACTGTGAAAACTAATTTCAAAACTCAGCACACCAAAAGGGAACAGTGAGGAACTGATGGCTCTGAAAGAATACTCAGGACTACCACATGTGCCCACTCTACAACTCTTCTCATTCCTAAAGAGATGAGTGTGACCATAATGGATTTCATCTGTGGGGAAATTCAACATGCTGTTTCTTCATTACACTCACAAAGATCATAAGTCTCTATTTCCCTCACTGCCAAAGGCAACAGGAATAAGGGCCTCCTCATAACAGGCTAACATGAAAAATTAGTTTCAAAATGGTTTGGCCATGTGGAATAGAGTCAGGTACAAAAAGAGAATCAGCTCATGAAATACATTCTGCAGAGCCCAACAAAAGCTGAATGAAAACCATATGCAACAGAAGAAAAATGGATTTACAGAAAAAAACAACCCATAGGCTCACTAGCTTTTGCAGTGTTTTGGAAACTTGCTGCAATAAAATATCCCCTTATTTTATGCTAAGCACTGAGTGAGCCTTCCCAGATGGGCACAGGGGCTTTACTGTCAGGATATAATGAAAATACAGTTATTCTTCTTACCATTTTTATTGTAACTTTTGATAATATATAAATGCTAAACAACTTTGCTGTGAATAAACCCAGCATTATTTATACAGCTGATACTACAATTTATCATTAGTCTCTTTCCCAGAGTGTACTTACATGGCTAAACTACAGATTCTGGCGTCAAATATGAGGCTGATACCTCAGTAAAGGAGATATGTAGCATTCACTGTAGTTACCCCTGATGCATATCAAATACACACTATGAATTTTACTTCTTGCATATTCCAGTGTCCTAAAAGAAGGCATGATGCAATTTGCTTCTGGCTCAAAAATAAATGGAGCAAATTGGGTGGGTGGGGGAGAAATTTAAATTAACCACAGACTGCAACAAGTCAAGAACACAGGTAACTGCAGGACAGGGTATGACAGATCACAGACATTGTAAAGACAACAATTTTTAGGAACTATCTCATGACCTCATTGCTTGCAGCTGGGCCACTCATTATAACTTGGGCTGCAACATAATTAGGAAACAGAGTGCATGACCAAAACACTGAATTGCAAAATAAGCTGTGAGAAAGTGTCTGCAAGTGGTTACAACAACAAAGAAAGAGTTAATGCCTAATGTTTCTCAAACCTTCAAGTGATGGTCAGTTGCTCATTTAGAGACATAGCTATAATTATTCAGATTCTCAGAGTGTGCAGAAAAATATGGATAAGAAGACAAAAATAAAATGTGACAGAAGATGGTTTTTACTCTTCCAGGAGAAAGAATCTCATATGCTGCATTACAGCTGAGGACATCAATGCTACAATTTTAGAAGACAGATAAATGCTTTACACTTGTATGAGTAAATAACAAGATTTTATTTACTCACACAAGTGTAAAGCATTTATCAGTCTTCCCCAAAACTTAACACATTAACTTACCACTCCCTTCTGAACCACATACAGACTTATCAACTATTAAGAGAACCAGCTGTTTGGTCAAAATCTCCTGAGAGATGGTGAAGCAAAGAAAAATAAACAGGGAAAATGTAGGGAGACTTATTATCTTACTTTGCTTGTAGAGAAGCCAAAGCATCCGAGAACTTGTTGTTAAGAAATAAATCCAGAGCTGCCATACATTCACGTAGAGCCACGTTGAGGTCTGATGATGATGACCTGCCAGAAGAGATAATAAGCTCAGCACATCTTCTTCTACCTTCTACCAGTGTGTTACTGCTGCATTTGAAACCCCCTTCCTCAATTCCATATTTATTCCCTTGCATACCCTGCTATTTTAACTTTAGTGATTGCAAGAAGTTAAAGTGACTCCTATTATGTTTGTGGATTTGTGGTTTTGGGTTTTTTTAAAAACTATGATTTCACCAAGTAACACGTGAAAAGGAACTGAAGTCTTTCATTCTTTGGGAAAAAAAAAAAAAAGAAAAGACAAACTGCACATACTTTATGGTAAGAACGTGGACATGCTGAATTTGCCATGTGGGTGCACAGCAATTTGATGAGGTCAGGTATCAGGAACACAGAAGCACTGGGTGACATTGCACATCTCATTGTAAGGCTGCCAGACTCCAGCTGGTGATCATGTTATCACTGAGTACGAGACATTGTCAATCTGCATCAGAATATTACACCAACTGCTGCTGGAACATCTGCCTTCATTCAGCTCATGTTCAGCGTGGTGCCTGAGCAACAAACCACTACAAACTCACGGGGGGTTAAAATTTCCCATTGTGCATGTTCATGGGAACATCACTGCCTCTAAGTGCCACTGCACTCAAAATAAACTACTATGGTATCTCAAAGTCAGAAGACTCTCAGTGACTTAGTCTGGCTGTACTTTTCTCCTTTACAACATTCAGATGTCAGCCTGACCTGTCACAAGGCTTCTCAGCTGGTCTTTAGGTTACTGGCAACAGGATAATACAGACCAGCTGAGTTAGTTTGGCCCAAGTTCCTCACCACCAGAACTGCTGGACAAAAAAAAAAAAATCCAAAAAAGAAACAATAAAGCCTTGCACTAATGAAGTTAAGGTCATCTAGCCAGCCAGTGTTAGGATAGTGGAAACATCTGCATCCAATGATCAAAGAGCTACACTGCACTAATATATTGTACACAAGCACGTACAAAACATCCTCCAACAAAATACAAACAAACCCTCACCATGTTCCTGATTCCGAACAGCTCTAACTAATGTGATCTATCTTGTGACTTAGAAACTGTGTTAGTTCCTTAAAAAGTAGCACAACACAGAATGCTGAAAAGAAAACCAGAAAGCAAAGTCCTGATAATATCTTAAGGAAAAGGCAGGGGAGCACAGCACAAGCAGATAACATCAGTAATAACCACCCACTGCAGCAGTGGTTTGATTTTGGTTTGAGGAATAATGACTGCAAAGAAATAAAGAGTATAATTATATATACAAAAAGCAGGACTTTAAATTTGAGAGAAACATTATGTGACGCTGCTCCTAGTGGCTTTGTCATCACAACTTCAGCTACACTGCAAATCCTTTTGCACCCAAGACATTCTGTGAGTGCTTTGCAAGCATTGATTAACCAAGTTTTGGCATCCGCCTCAGACAAAATGCAATATCATGTCTGCCTATTCTGAGCCCTGTTTAATAATTAAAACTTGGTCAATTATTGCTTATTGTATTAAAACTCCTACCTTCCTGGTTTTAAATCTGTGTCCCTGAATCAAGTAACATATTTAACAAGAATAAAGCACATCTTCACCTGTTTTAAAATATTTAGACTGCTAGCATTTTACCCAGGTTTTTTGGTTTTGTTTCTTGTCATGCAGGAGAATTACCCCATTCAAAACAAATAAACCTTTTCAAAATGTTCCTTTGAAACAGAAAGATGACAAAGAATAAAATCACTGCTGAAGCTCAAAGCAGAAATAAGATACTATAATTACTTGGCATCTTTTCTGGAATAACAATACACACTGCTATCCACAGCAGCAGCCAGAAACACAAGCGGCACATTTCCCTCATACTCCAAGGAAACCTGCCACAGGATGTAGCTCCCAAGTCAAGGGCTTTAACACCTGGGCAAGATACACACCTCACATAAATGCTGCAAACCATGTCACTGTTAACAATAGGGCAGAAATACTTTAAACTCGAAGGTGCTCAGCATTTTAGCAAACTGATTAGTCACGCTTCAGTGGGCTGCAGATTCCCTCCTGCTTCCAACAGCAGGATCAGAACTGCCTCTAAGCCAAATGCAAAATGCTGTGTGGTGCCACTCACCTCTCTGCTGAGTGTCCTGCGTGTTGTGACATAGTCATTGTAAGCCCGCTCAGCTTTTGGGCTGGAGCATCAGCAGCACTCGGCGCTCGGAGCCAGCTGCGAGCGGCAGCCCCGGCGGGAGCCTGCCTGCGGCACCGCGCTCTGCGCCTGGCACTGCCACGGCAACGGGAGCATCGCTAATCCATCCTACAAACCAGCCGGTCGGGAGCCAGCCCGGGCACGCCAGGTTCATGGGCCACTGCATCCAAATGCAGCTGGATACATCCAATGTAGGAGGGGCTGGCGGCTGCCAGCCTATCTCTGATCTACAGACCTGTCTGCAACAAGCAGCCGCATCAGCCACCTTTTCTCCCGTCCAGACCAGGCAGAAGCCAAATACCCTTGTAATTACAGACCTGAAACAGCAAGAATTACTGCATGTGGCAGTGGCCCACATCAGAAAGCTGTGAACCAGAAGGGAGAGCCAAACGAGAGCAGCTGACAGGCGGCACTCAGGCAGTAATTGCTGCGAATGTGAGAACCACGCAGGCAGAGACACAAGCAAGTGCTTTTTTCCCAGCAAGGATTCTCCACAAAACAGGCTCCAATCCAGCAACCAAACTGCTGCTTCTCGTTAGTTCTTGTACCTTTGGGAGGAACTGAGACTTTACACGCTCTTTGTAACAGTCTCTCTTACATGCCATGGAAAATAAGGTGAGTTTGCACTAACAATTTAATCAGTGGAGTGAGCGCATCTGGCTGATTTTGCCCAAAATGAAACAGTGAATTCCCCTGAACTGCTTTGCTGGCACATCAGCTGTACCAGCCCTGTGCACAACTACAAGCAGCATTACCAGTCCTTCAGTTACGAGATCTGGACTGTGGAAGTTGATTAGCCATGATCTACTTATGTAAATTCGTTTCTCCAAGAGTATCTAATGGCAGAAATTATCTGTTTGCTAGATTACCCAAAGAAGTACCCATAATGAAGACACACACTGCAGAAGGAAGACCCAAAACTGATAAACCAGCAAAGGACAATTCCAGGAAGATACTCTGAATCCATTAACATACCTGATTAAATCTCTTGCTTGTTTTATGGCATCCTGTACAGAAAAGCCTGTGCTGCATTTGGAACAAAAATTACTGTAATAGATCTACAGGCTGCCCCAATAATGACTCCATTACATGTTCCTAACAGCATTGTGTACCTGGGCCACAGCAGAAGATAAAAGACATTACTGGGTTTTTTCCCCTAGTTGGAAATAACTACTGGTTACAACTCAAAATTAACTGGCTGGCTCCATGGCAGGATCACGGGCTACTCTGAAAAGGTTATTCATCATTCTCACTAGCTGTTGGTACAATTTCTAATTAATGCTGTATTCTCCAAATAGTCCTTAAAGCCCTGTATGGTGAAGGCTCTGGCTATCTTGGCCAAATTCTTGAAGACTTGATTTGGCAGATTTTTATTTAAATACCACTACTCTAGAAACAACTATATGCTCAGATAACCTTCAGTATGCAACCTCTCCTCCCCCACATATATGTATGTTTTCTTTTAACTAAAGAAAACAAATGTAAAAACTCAGATCTGAAATATTTCCACATTTAGGCCGTTTCCCTGCTGGTTTTACAAGGTTCTTTCCTTTCTTGCTTTTGGGCAGCAGGTTTTGCAAGGACAGTCATATGGCTCTTCTTGTGGTTTTGTTATTCATGAAATCATTGTTTTCTGCCCCAGGGATCACGAGTGGGGTTGCTTCACAAATCACAACCTCAGCATATCCTGGGAGTTGCAGCAAGAACTGCTCTCCTTTCTCCACTGCATCCCCATTGTCTCTAGCTGGAAACACAGCTCCTTGAAATATTCCAGGCAATGCCCCTTTTACTTAAGCACCATATCCCTTCCATGTCAACTGCAGTATCAAACAAAATGAATAAGCAGAAATAAGCAAAACCAAAATCTGGAATATTAATGAACAGTAAAGAATATTAAAAAAAATATTATGTTTTCCATTGTCAAAAGGGAACTACTTTTGAGCATGGGAGTTACCATGTTTATGCATAATTTTATTTCACTGTGTGCATGATGTTGACTGGTGTCTAACTACGAGTTTGCATTACATAAGCTTTGTGATTTGTCACTGGGTTTTACAGATTTCTTCAATAACAAAAGCATCTTGAACCTTATACTGTGCAAAATGCTAAAACACTCACAACCTCAGTAATTATCAGAACTTTAAAAAGAAAGGTGTCTGAGGTTTGTGTCTTTGTAGTAATGCTTTTAATAGTTCAAGGGCTCCTTCAGCACTGTGAAACATTAAAAGCAAGTTAAACCAGTCATATCCTAAAATATGGATGCATTTCTCTCCCAAATCTACCTTATCTGCATAAGTCAGCTGCGGTTGCTTGCATGGGTAACTTCACTTGGAGGAGAAGAACAAAACACAAAGCCTCAAACACAATTTAAGCTTCACCAGTGCTAACATTTCAACCATTGACAGATGTGAGGAGCCTCCCAGAGCACATTTCAAAGGCCTCAGTTTCAGTGCTAAGGAAACTTCCCGGTCTGAGCATCCAGGAGCCACTGGCAGTCACACTCCCATCACCTGAGCTGGGACCAAAGCCCCTTCACAGCTGCACATCCCACACTCAGTGAGACAGGCTTGACCTCCAGTTTCCCATAACAGAGTCTCAGATGTCCCAGTCATTAAAATTATTTCATCTTGGTGCAATAACAAAATAACAGCTTGAGCTGGTGCCTCCAAGTATGGACTTGGAACAAAGGAACCCCTGGGGCTTTTATCCCCTCACTGTCTAAATAGGAAAAAGTCTGGGTATCTTCAGCCCCTGCTGTGTCCCCAAATGCTCCTCCCTGTGCCCTTTTTGTGCAAAGGGTCAGCAGATCACATCCCA